GCCCAGCAGACGAATGGCCAACAGAACTTAAAGGAGTAGGATCAGAGTTTTAGAGAACATGTTCCTGTCGTGGTCATTTTTCTGCAGTTCATATACAGTATGGCACTACCAAGGTGGCCACAAGGTGGCAACATTTCACAAAATGATTAGCTCATACTGGTGTAAAAGTGCAAACCAAGAACTAGAAAAATAAAGTCCTTTAACCTTTGTCTCAGATGTGTTCTATGAAAAAACATCTTCAATAGCTGTTAACTAAAACGCTATGCTAGGTGGTGCTAATGAGCAGAGTTGTCACTTTGGTGCATTCGTTGTCGTTGTTTAGCCGAAGCCAAAGTAAAAACATGATGTAAATGTCACAACATGAGAATTAAATTGTTTTCTGGGAATAAAGGAGGAAAAACTTTTCCCACAAGTAGTTTTTAAAACAATCTTGTGGTTGTAGAAGAAAAACAGAAGTATCAGGTCGTCCCAGCATATAACCCACATTAATCTGTCCGTGGCGGAGACCAGATCTAAAATAAACATTTGTGGTAACTGTCAGCTCCAGGATTTCTGCTTTTCTTTTCAGCTGTCCTGAGGAAATCGCACGAAAACTACTGGGTTTCAGTGTTTCTGCTACAATTCTCTTTTCTTCTCTCTCTCTGTCTCCCTCTGTCTCTCTCTCTCTCTCTCTCCACAGAACACTTTAGATGGACATCCTTTAAAAAAAAAACCCTTTCAAATTCTCACATTCCTGACAATGGAAGGAGCTAATAGAAGCCTCCACATCAAGCTGTACAGAAGGAGAAATCAGCTTGGCGTCTTTGATAATGGAGCTTTTTGAGCGCGGTGGTTTTTCTGCAGATGAAAAGACACAGATGCCGACTGCTGGCACGGCTGACAGAGAAACTGTACGACTGTGCTTTCATTTAAAGAGTAAAACAACAATCGGACTCACTTCAAACACACTTGTGCCACTGGAAGCAACGACAACAAAAGCAACCTTATATAAGCCCAGCGAGTTTGACCTTGCTGTCCGTGGCCATGTCTGCTGCTTTTAATCTCAGGGGCATAAATTAGCAGCAGCCGCGCTGCGGTCCGAGTCTCCGAGGAGAGTGGCCTCCAACCAGGGGAGGAAGACGTCTGCTGGAGAGTGTGTTGCCAGGGCTGAGGAATGGCTGCACTTGTCAGGAGAACTAAAGACAGTTTCCTCGCCTAACACTGGGAGACAGTGAAGCCTCAAAGTCGGGGGGGTGGACGGGGGCAAGAATGTCCTGAAAAGACAGTTATGTAAAACTCACAGCAGCTTGTGAGGATAAAGAATTAAACTGTCTAAATGGTCATCCCTTCATACATACAGCAGTGTGGACATCTGGTGTCATCCCTACATACATACAGCAGTGTGGACATCTGGTACAGACAAACCCAACACATGCTGCATCTAACCTGGACCAGGACTTCACTCCTTCAACCTCATCACTTCATCAAATCCAAAAAAACAAAAACCAAAAAGAAATGTGATTTTTATTGATCTCCATGACAGATTCACAAAAACGTTAAGGAAGTGGACTAAACTGTAGGGTCGCAGCTCAGAGTTGGACTGCAAGCACCACCTGCAGGGGCCTTAAAAATAACTTTTAGTTTAGAAACTGAGCTGCAGGTGCCGCGGGAGACTGATCAGCCTGATCAAAGAGATGTTCAGTTAGAATACATCTTTAGACGAGCTCCAAAGGCAAAAGAAAGTACTTTTACCAAGACAAAACAAAGAAGACAAAAGTGCTGCCAAAGCCACACAACAGTGCGAGGACGCTGGGTGTGTATGAACTGTGAAGGACAGCGGGAGGGTTAAACACAGGGTGTGTATGAAATGTGAAGGACAGCGGGAGGGTTAAACACGTGTGACGTTGTGAGCCGAGAACCCACAGCTCTGAAGCCATCATTTGAGAACCGTTGTTCTAAACGTTCTGGTCTAGTCATATTTGTTTGCTTCCTCGTGTACAGTACATGTCTGGGAACCATCTGCTTTCCTACAGCACCGTCCTGGACATGTTCTCCACAGATAAATCTCCTCTGACTACAGGTGCAGTCAGCAGACACCGGTTGTTGTTTTTTCCCTCTTTCCGTGCTCCACCAGGAAAACAAGCAAATATTAAAAACAGGTAAGAAAAACACAACAACATCCAAAAAGCTCTGACTCTACGTCTGCTTCCAGCAGAACCCACCCAGCGAGCGGCGGGTCTAAACCTGCTGACCTGACCCAGATATTAACCCCGGCCTCCAGATGTGAACATGCGCTGGGATTACTCCACCACTGCATCAGACTCCACATGCTTTCCTAATGAGGCATCCTAACATGACCCTGGAGACGGAGCTGACTGTCTGCCTCTGTTCCCATAACTCACTCTGTCTGCAGACACTCATGTCTGAGCACTGGAACCGCACACAGGCCTGGACGTCTGAGGAGGAGGTTTGAGCCGGAGTGGACAGAACATGTGAACAATACTGACTTAGAAATTAAATAAATAAAATAAAATAACTAATTTTAAAAAAAAACCCCATCAACATCACACTCCGTGATGTTTACAGTGTCTCAGCTGAACCATGCAGTTTCCCTGTGTCCAGGCTGAGTTCAGCTGTGGTCCAGTGGACCCCGTCTGGGTCTGACTCCTCTGTTTGTCTGTAATGTATGCGTGAATGTCAGCGGCTGACCAAGTTGTCCTGCACTGACCGTTCACAGCTCACAGCAGCAGCAGCAGCAGCCTCTCCTCTCCTCTCCTCTCATCCTGTCCTCACTCAGCACATGCACCAGCCACGACCTGAGGTTTTCGTGCACAGGAATTTAACTCCTTCTCTGCGTCGGGCTGCCTACTACTGTAGCCACAGCATTCTTTCGCCTGCGTCTATTTCCAACTTGTGCCGTGTCTGCAAGTTAAAAAAACTTCCCCACGCTGGAAAGAAGGCACAGACAGCAGCGGTGACAGCCTCAGCCACAGACACGTGAAGTGTTTCAAGTTTGACTGGCTTGCTGATGGCACACGTTTGCTGAGAGATCAAGAGGACACACAAAAAAATAAACAAAAAAAAAAAAAGAAAAAAGAAATGCAGCGCTACAGCCTACCATTTTGATCCTGCGTTTCCAGGCGCAAAGGAGTCCAAAAATAACTCCTTTCGCAGCAGTTTTCCCTCCGCCATGAAAATGACCGTCGATTTGTCACATTTCTCCAGTTTCAGTTGGATCCCAAAACCCTTTTCCTCCCCTCCTGGGCTGCTGCTCCTCCTGCTGCTCCTGCTGCTGTAGCATTCAGACAGACAAAAATGCAGAGGCTGCTCTTGCAGGAGGAATTGGTGATTGGAGCTCGGGGATCATATGGGCTTTTTGTCAGACGCTTTTAAAGGGACACGCTGCTCTTTCATGTGGAGTTTGTTGGAGGACACGGAGCTCCTCTCTCCGCTCATCCTGCCTTATTTTGACCCGAAGAAGAGGAGGAGAAGGTGGTGTGTGTGAAGGACGCTCTGCCATATGGCGCAAAACCTGGTGCGCTAGACTCGAGCGCACCAGGCGTGACGTCAGACAGATGCGGGGGTCACGGGGTTCATTCGGTTCCCACGTGGAGCAGAAGTGTCAATAACAGAAATCACATGTTTCAGATCATTTGTTATTTTTATTACGTCACAGTGACCGAGGTTAAAGTGAACAACAATCTCTCTGAAAACACACGGACTAATCCATCACTAACTTAGTTCATAATGAGGATGAAGGAAGGATGATAATATTAGTAAAATATTTCAATATTTTTCGTTAACCTAAAGCTACTTTCTGCTTTGTTTTCAGGTAGGTCTTTTATTTATTTTACTTCTAATGTAATGTTTGTTTACTGTTTGCAAAACGTACAATCATGTAAGTTTTTTTATAATCATTTTTATAAAATTTGATATGTATTAAAGATTGTTTCAGAGTATCATCCATATTTTTGTCACCTTATTATTCACCTTTGTATAGAACAAAGAAAGTCAGTCGACCAACAGGCGGTCGGTGGTGGCTGAGAATATCGAACATCACTGCTTGAATAATGACTTTCAATTAATCTATAAAAATAGTCACGATGATTCATTTCTTCTAATTAACACTCTTGACTATAATTGTAACAGAAATGAAAAAAAAAAAAAAAGAATCTCCCCTCAGAGCCCGGAGCTACGGGGGCAGCTGCAGACTTTCAACCCCATTGGTGATTCAGCCGGAGGCCCCTGGAAGCTGCTCCGCCATCAGTCACTCCTGAGCAGAATGTGTGGAGAAGAAGTCGATGCACTCATAACAAGGAGGGGGAAAAACATTGATCTTCACCTGAAGGAGTTCTCATTTATCACCTCACGTCCAGGACTGGGCTCAGCCCCAGACGTCCATGAGAACACAGTCACTCAGAGACAGAGAGACAGAAGAGACTGGTACAGGTGGAATACTGCTCAGAGTTGGAGAGAAAATGTAACAGTTCAGATCTGGTGCTGGTTAACATCCAGGACAAGGAAAAATTAAAGAAGAAAAAATATATATTCTAATTTGAGAATATTTAAAAAAAAAAAAAACTTTGTTGTTTATACTTTTTATGGTTTAACAGATAAACTGTTGACTACAATTAGCAAAAGCAATTCACCAAAATAAAGTAAAAAAAAAAATTTCACCACATTTTTCGTGTGTTTTTTCTTTGAACCTGTAAGACTTGAACCTTTAGTCAGGGACTTGGAGATAAACTTGAAAACCAGGAAATAACTTTTCAGTAACTTGGGCTCCAGAAGACTTGATTCCAAATTCTCGTATGTGTGTGTGTGTGGGTAACTTGGACTTGAAATCAGGAGCACCTGCCATGGACCGTGCTCCAGTTTCTTCTGTTGACCAGTGATCTCTTCACTACACTGCGTCGTCCTGCTGATGATCATCACGACAGTTCACCTTCAACATTAACCTGAAACACGTGTTGTAAACCAAACAAGCCTTGTGGAAAAAATGAAAAAAAAAAATCTGGACATTGGAATATGTTTGTCTTTTATTTTGTAACATAACAACAGAACTTGAGTAAATTGACTCAGGTCTTAACATTCATACCTGTTTGAATAATGTCAGACAGACTCTGTGTTAATATAACATCCAGGAAACCTAAGGAACAGCGGTAAACTGAAACAGAACGTCTGGTTCCCTTATTTTGGTTCCCTTTTTTTAATCATTTTAAGAAAATAATAATAATCTGGTCTGAGCTTGTGCTTGAACCTTTGAACAACAACTGTCTGCACATATTACTCAACTCAAAGAAGTAAACGCTTCACATTTCAGTACTACCTGTCAGTGTATAAAAAAGAAAGTACAAAAATATACAATATGAAATATTTACAGCTTATCTCTTGTTGTTTTGAAGTGAGCCTGGTTTTTCTTCGTTAGTGTTTTCTGACGTCGAGCGTCAGTCGTGATGCTCAGCTGTAGCGACTGCTGCGACTGTGACTCCTACGCCTGGAGGAACTGCGACTGTAGGAGCGGTACGATCTGTGGAAGAAGAAGAAGAAAAAAAGAAAATCACTAGGACTGAAAAGAAGAAGAACAAAAAAAAAAGAAAATCACTAGGACTGAATTCTGTAAAATTTCAGCTGCTAAGAAACAACAAGACGCGTACAAAGAAAATCAATACCTGTTTGCCTTTACTACATTTATTTAAAATTTGCCTAAATTTGTCAAATAGCTCTTATTTTAGACCAAAGTCTAAAAAGATTTTTTTTTTCATTTTTCACATTATGGCACTAAGATGTTGTTAATCTACTATGTCATCTATCTATGTTTCAGTGTGTGACAGTGTTATGAAATCTTTATGGAATGACCTCAGCCAAGTCTTGGCCTTTTTGTACTTATTATACTTATTATAAATATTTCAGTTTTCCTCAATGTGCTGCTATTTGCCCTGTTTTTTTAAAATCTGAATTATAATAAAATAAAATGTTAAATGTTACTCTTTACTCTGTGATATGTATGTTGTGGGAAAAGACCTGAGTCTGAACATTCAGCTCACATTCAGTCACAGAACAGGAGACTGTTCACTGTCTGAGCTGAGACCTGTCACCTTCTTGTTGTTGTTTTGGTAAAGTTCACAGAGAAACACGTTCCTACCTGGATCGACGGTCTGAACTCCTGTAGCTGTCACTTCGTCTGCGACCCCGTCTCCTGCTCGCGCTGCGACTCCTGCTGTAGTAGCTGTCATAGGAGTCTGACCTGCATTATCACACATTAACAGCAGTGTGAGGGGGGGGTTGTTTTTCTTTCTTACCATGTCTATTAATGAGACTAGATTCATCATTAAAAAAACATAAGAGCCTCTGAGAAATGGAGCAAAATGAACCAAAACTAATCTCAATAAATAACTAAAATTCACACCAGCTACAGTCATTGTTTTAATCCTATAATAATTTCTGACAGACCTGGATCTTCGTCGACGATTGTATGATCGACTTCTGGAATGACTCCTGCTGTAAGTCCGACTGGTGGAAGTAAAAGTACAAATGTTTCAGTCTCAAAGACGCTACAACATGGAGGAGAGCTAGTACAAATGCACTGTCGTGGTGCCTCAGGAAATGGTGTAGTTCTTATGTCTCCTTCTTCACAGGTGGACCAGGTGTTAGGAGGAGGAACCTGATACAGTAGGTGGCAGTAACACGATTTAGTAAATGTCTATTTATGGGCAGATGAAGAGGAGGGATCAGTTGACATCTGAGTCCCAGAGGAGATCAACAAGGATCATTTTTTTTAAATCTAAATACTAGAATGCAGTTTAATTAAATGGTTTTGTGTTATTTTCATTCTGTGGGAGGTGTACAGCCTAATGGCTCGGGGCAGTAGTACGAGTACTGCTCGGTCTGTACTGGTTATTTATAACATATATTAGAATGCATATTTACACAAACATACATTTCATGACAGAGAATAGTTGTGTAACATGGCTGGGATGTAACCTATAAACTTATTAGCAGTAAATCAGTGTGTGATGTTGTACCTGTGACTCCTATACCTTCGGTAGGTGCTGCTACGGCGTGAACGTCCATGTCCATGTCTCCTCCTACTCCTGCTACGACTCCTGAAGGAGTCGCAGTGTTAGGAAATACCACTTTTAATACCACAGTCATGAAGTGATGGTCCATTTGAGCTCTTCATCTTTTTTTTTTACTGACCTTGATCTTGAGTAGCTCGAGCTGTGGGATCTACTCCTGGACCCGCTGGACGAATGTGACCAACCTCTGGAGCGAGACCGGTGACTTGAACCAGAGCGAGATTTCTTGGACACAGATCTGGACTTCTTTGGGGACCGAGTGCGAGATGCTGCCGTGGGACTTCCCTCTGAAGGAGACATCTCCTCGCTGGAGCTCTCCTGGTTCCTGGGTCTCTGGTTGAGTCGCGCAGTCTTGCGGACCTCGTCGAACAGAGAGCCCGGTCTGACCCGGCTCTTACTCTTTATCTCCATTCGTACCATCTGTGCGCTGGGTTTGAGGTTCTGCTGAACTTGGGTGTTTTTTGAAATGACAGGAGGAGTCACAGTCACGTTTTGCACAGCTGAGGTTCCTTTGAGGGGGAAATGACAGGAGGAGCAGTCACATTTTGCACAGCTGAGGTTCCTTTGAGGGGCTTCCACTTGAAGTTAATGGGTTTGCTGGAAGCCGCTTCTTCTGGAGGAAGACCTGACGTTGTTGTTGCTTCTTTGTTTTGAAGTTTTTCACTGTCTTTATTTGCCATCTCTAAAGATTCTGACGGAGACTTGATGCTTAATTCAGTCTTGTTGTCAAAGAAATCCCTCTGCGGTTCTTCGATTTCAACGTCATGCTCAAGGGTGCAAATGTCCATGTCGTCCATGGACACCTGATCTTCGACACTGGGAATCTTAGCACTATTAACATGACTAGTATTGTGACTTGAAGACTGGTGAGATTCTGTGTGTTTTGGGTTTTTAGTCAGGATTTTTGTTTTTGTTTCCTTGTCCTCGTCACTACTTGGGTTTTTGTTTAAAAGAGCAACAAATTGGTCCTTATCACTGACACTTTTCTCATCAGATCTTTCTTTCCTGGCTCTACCAAGGTTGGGTTTCTCCTTTTTTGTCTCTTCCTCCTCCTCTTCCTCTCCAAACTCTAAAGGCGGCTGCCAGTGAAAAGTCTCCTTCAGTTTCTGATGTTTCCTCTTAGATCTTTTTCCTTTGTCCTTGTTGCGATGGGAGTTGGTTTTGTTCTCGCTTCTCTTCTTTCTTTTGTGTTTGCGTTTGGCCTTCTTCTTGCTCCTGTGCTTCTCCGTGGCCTTTTCGGCATTTTCTCCTGAAGAACTCACAGCTGCCACTATCTTCTGTTGAAGGGTCATGGCAGCCTCCGTTGTCTTTCTGGAAGTGTCGTGCTCTGATTCAGTGCTGGCCTCACCTTCTTCTTTCTCTGATGATGCCATTGTCTTTGCAGTATTTTCAGGTTCGCTGTCTGAGTTCCAGCCAGTGAGAGCCTCAGTAGGTGGAGCAGTTTCTTTCTGTTTTCTTAATGCAGAGTTGCTGTTGTTTTGACCTAATTTATCACTGTCACTGTCCCATTCAGACTTGTTATTAAGGCTCTCGTCTGGCACAGAGCTGCAGGGTTTGCTCTCTTGATCTTGCGGATTTCTTTTCTCTGCGACCTTCTCCACCGAGACACTCGTCTTTGAGACACTGAAGTCAGGACTACGCTCACCGCCTGCTTCCTGCTCTGATCCTGAATGAGCTTCTTGACTGGTGTACAGTGCATTTATACATTTATCTACATTTTTCACTCTCTTCAGAGAGCTGTAATATTCCTTCCACTCACCGACCTGTACGTTTTCCTTTTTGCCGCTTTCTTTCTGCGACTCAGAGCCCGACTTGCTGTAGGAAGACGACCGGGTGCGGTGCCGCTGAGGAGATCTGGACCGGGACCTGCTGTAACTTCTGCTGCGTGATCGACTGTAGGATCGGCTGTACGACCGGCTCCTGGGAGACCGGCTGTGTGAATGGCTGAGTGGTTCGCCTGCTCTGTTGCCGTCAGAATCTCCTGGCAAAGACTTTGTGACTAGTGAAGTTTGAGGTTTCTCTGAAACCTCATCAGCTGCCTGTCCTGTAGTGGAGGACGCACTGGGGGTTAATATAGCTTTGATTTCCTGGATATGGACGTAGGAGGGTTTCCACGGCTTTTGGCCAGGCTTCCAGCGTGAGGGGGGAGGACTGTCACTCAGTGGGATCACAGGTACATTCTCAGGAGGTGTGACAACGGGGAGTCGTGGGACAGAAGCAACTTTGTTTTCAGGGGGCTTATCTGTCACAACTGCATCTGGTTTTGTTCTGCTGTCTTTCCTCTTTCTTGGAGATCTGGACGATCCTCGCTTTTTGGACGGAGACAGAGACCTGGATCTGTACCTAGATCTTGACCTTGATCTAGAATAGGATGAAGATCTGGATATGGATCGACTCCTGGATCTCGTGGGGCTTCGGGATCGAGAATAAGACCCTCTTCGAGACCTGGAACGACTAGTAGAGTAGGATCTGGAATAAGACCTTGAGTCTCTTGAAGACAATGACCTCTGTCTCCGTCGACGCGATGACTGGTGTTGACTGGAGGAGGAACGAGTCAGAGAACGTGACTTTCTGGCCCTTCTCTCTGGAGTGACTGATCTCTCACCCTCTGACAGGTAGGTGTCCTGAGGTTTGCTCTTGGAGATTTTCTTCTTGCCATGTTTTCGTTTTTTGGCCTTCTTTTTATGCTTTCCTTTTTTCTTCTCTTTCTTCTGCCTGCGGCGCAGGCTGGACCTCTCTGAGCTGTGGTTTGAAGAGCGTTCAGCAGATGGAGATCGGGACCATGCAGAGTCACCTCTGTCCTCCCATCTGCTTGAGGAATGGTCATTCAATCTGTTAAGTCAAAAAATGCATAAAGAAAGGAACAGGATATTACATGTAGAGAGGTGAAACACTAAGTCGTACTTGTCTCCTTTGCTCCATCTCTCCACACTGGGGGGTTTATAGACTGTGGTTCTCTGCATCTCCTCTTTCCAGTGCGGTGGAGTTTCACTGCTGCCACGTTCCACTGAAGCAGAGCGGGACTTAGATCTTGTTGGAGTGTGATATCTCTGTAGGAAAATAGTTCTTTCTATTACAGCTATAGGTCAATGTAAAGCAGTGAAATGGAACACCATAATATATATACATTATATACGTATATATGTGTATATATGTATAAATATATATGTAAATATATATATTTATACTTGTATACAAATATACATGAATGTGTAAATATGTACACAGGTACAGACACACATATCGTCCCATATATAAACATATGAATCTATAGGTCAAAGTGCATTTCAACATACCACTGTTCCCCTGCCTTTGATTTTACGCCCAGACTTAGAGACCGCTGGTTTCTGGTCAGCTGGAAGAGATGTTTCTTCTTTTTCAACTCTGGGAAGTTTCACAAGAGAAAACTTCCACTCTTTATTTGTCCAGAAAATAGACACAATGATAACAAACCCAAGACAAACACACACATTTCTGGCTTTTGCTCCTGGGACGGTACGTCACGCCGCAGCAGGAACCGATTCTCTGGCACAGGTGGGATCTCCTCTGGTCGCACCACAGGCTTCTCTCTCTTTCCACCCAGTTCCTTCTCTTCTTCCACCTGGTTTTCGGCCTCGGACACCTGCTTCTCTGTGCAACTGTCAACCAAAAAAGGATACAACAAATTTAAATAAAAGGTTATATCTCTTATAAAACGCACTGACAAATAGATTAACAACCCAAACCTTTTGAAAAGCTGATCGTCTGTGCTCTTCCTTAACTCCCTCCTCTTCTTCTTCTTCTTCGACTGTTTACTCCTGATGCGTCTCTTGTGTTTGCGCTGTTTGTGCTTCTCATCAGATTCACTCTCAGAGTCGACTGAAGACGAGCACTGAGACGACGAGTCGTGGGAGTCGAACGACGAGTCTGCGGAATGAGACATTCTCTTCCTTTTGCCTTCGAGCACTAAAGCGAGAGATGTAACCCCCAGTTAATTTATTTGACAAAATAAATACAGCTTTTAAAGCAACTGAGCAGTAAAAGTGAAGGACTAACTAAGAGTGAAATACCAGAGGACATTTTCAGGTTGGACAAAATCCACAACAACAAACGCTTTGTTTGAATTCCCTAGGATGTAGGAGTTAATAAAGGAGTCAGGTGGACATATGCTATTAGAAGTCCTCACTGGTCTTTATTTAACAAGGGATCAGGTTTCATGGTCTAAAGCTGGTGGGGGGTGCAGCAGGATTTAAACAACAAATATTTACAACCAGTACGACCAAGTTAGAATTACAGGCAATGCCTTTTACGACAGACCCAGATACACAAAGGGGTCAAATTATGTTTGGAACCACTGACAAAGATGAAGCTTCACGTATGCTGTGTACCAGAACCTAACTCTGTACTGCAAACATCACACCTGTTTGCACTGAAAGAACTCCGTACTTTTCAATTTGGTGGAATAATGGTCTTAACTTTTCTAGTTTCGTGAAGAACCAGTACAATAGTGTTTGTAGGACACCACTCAGTAGGTGTCAGGATTACTGAATGAATATTTCCGTCAACCTCAGAGAAGAAGGAACCGAGGCAGATTACCGTCCTTCGCAGACTTGGTGATCAGCTGACCGCAGTCCATCACTCTCACGTCAGCGTAGGGTCTGCTTGCTGAATCAGTCTTCAGCCCCTCAATCTTCTTTATCACCTCAAAACCGGAGATGACGAGACCGAACACTACGTGAACTCTGTGCAGACAATGAAACACTGTCAGAACTGATATACATGTGACTGATATCAGTATTAGATTATACAGAATGTAGCTTCAGTTCAAACTGGCATCTCACTTCCTCTTTTCAAAACACCTTTTTTTCTCTCAGTTACCTTTTATTTACATATTATATTTTCACATTTTTAAATATTTTGTTCCACTTCTATGCTATTTTTTTTCACTTTTGGTTTTTAAGTCAGAGTAATTGTTGTTCAGCAATTTAAGTTTAAGTGTTTTTCTAACAGGCCACTGTCATAGAATTTTGATAACCTGACATCCATGTAATGGAGCTGACTGGCAGAATGTTGTGACTGACCTTTGATTATAAACACTGTTCAATAGATGTGTATTTTACCCATCGAGGTGTGGCGCCATCTTGGTTGTTCTGTTTGTGGGAAACCCAGCGTCCCAGGGAGATCAACCAATGGTTGGAGTTGGAGTCATGGAAAAGGAGGAGAAGGAAGAAAACAATGAGATTAAAACAACTCATAACAAACTACAGAGAATCATTTCTAAAACCACCAAATGTTTGTAGAATTTTGACAGCCAATCAAACTCAGCCAAAACAGTCAGTTCTATACACTCAACAGGGAGTGCTGACAGAATTATTTTTGATTGCACCCATTTTGTGAATATAGTTTCCTATGGTGGTATTTTACATTGGTGGCGACTTGTTTTAATTCATAAAAAAAAACCCAAAACAACAAAAATAAAAGTCAGATTCAACATTTCCACAGTTGCAAATACCAAAGAAGTGAATGATCATAAGATTTAGAGAGAAACACAGCCGTGGAGACACATTACCTTGGAGGAGCAGGATGCTAGAGTTTCTGCAAATTTTACACAAAAACGGCAAGAGAAAAAATGTTCATATTTATAGGCAAAAAAAAAAAAAGAATCCATCTTTCCAATTAAACTGCAAATACAGCCGACTTTCCAAGATCACAATCATCAAGACAAAGTTCTACTCTACGAGGTTTACAACAGGCGGAGTAGAAGGCAAACACAGAGCCTCGTTGAAGTGTCAGTTACTGGCTGTTTGAACTGAGTGGGACTCACATGAAGAACTGTGAACCGTTGGTGTCCTTCCCACGGTTGGCCATGGACAACAGGAATGCTTTGTCGTGTTTGAGGGTGAAGTTTTCATCTGTTAGGGGCAGAGGAAAAAGGAGGAAAGTCTCAGAGACAAACTAAAGTTTGAATCCATCCAACCTGATCTCTGCCTCAACAACCACTCATTTGCTGTATGTAAAACCACTCATTTACAAACATGTTATGTTCAGACACGGAAGCACTAGACAAAGAATGCCCAAGATACGACCTTTACCTTCCTCACCAAAGAGTGTTCTATCATCTCTGAGCACATACATAAAGACAGCAGAGGGTAAATACTTCAGATTAATGAATAAAGGTAGGCAAGAAAACAGAAGACAAGAAGTTGATTCAAGTGTCCGCTATAATTAGTCACTGTATTTTCTGGACTATTAGTCGCACTTTTGTGTTGTTTGGCTAGTCCTGAGACTAAAATCCCAAAATCATAAATATATCGCAAATTATATATATGGCCACAAGAGGGCACTGATACTAAATACCTCCTTCAAGACCTAAAAACAATTAATACCTCTGTAAAACAAATCTATAAAAATCCATTAAAATAAAATGGAACCAAAACTAAAATGCTACATGGCAGAATTTAAAACAACAGATTAGAAAGTATGTAGCCATAAAAAGATATGGAGCAGCAAAGACACTAACGGTACTAACTGGAACTAATGCTGATGGTTAGTCTAACGATAAGATATTTCATGTAACTTTAATAACTTTAATATTCTTTACATATAATTGAAAAAACATATTTATAATAATTAACTATTAATTCATTATAAAGCTTTGAAATTTTTTTTCTGTACTCAACTTCATGTCCAGAGCGCTGCAGCTATAAATACACCACATACTGTGTGTAACAGTAAATGAAATCTGAGTGACCAAATGCTTTGGACATCTTGGAAGGAGGTCTGCTGTGAGGAGGGCTCAAAGCCACAGACCTGCATCTTTGGCTCTGCAAATATTTGCAACTCTTTCTACTTTTTAATTGACTGAGGAAGTTGGTGGGGGCAATGTTGACAAGGTGTTACTGAGCTGTGTTCATCGCTTACCTTCTCATTTTGCAAAAGACCACGCTATAAATAAAAGAATATGTTGAAAATTTTAGGCAGGAAGATTCGTAGCTTACAAGAAAAAAAAAAATCCTACGCTCCATGCTGATTTTTATTAAAGCCTTCTACTGTAACTGAAAGAGAGACAGCAATAAACAAAGAGACAGTCAAAAGCAAATGGAGTCGTATAAAAAAGAAACAACAAAAATTACAGGAGAACAAGTTCACCACATGCACTGTTATGTTCATGCAAGTATTTAAGATTTTCATTTAAGATAAAGTAAATTAAGGAAATATCAACTCCAAGAATTAAAACTTTATAATTTGTTACCTTCAAAGTAGCCACCATAGATCGACTCTCCTCCTCTTCCATTTCCTGTAAGAAAATAGTCAAATAATGGACAGTGTTAGATTTATTTCAGAATAATAGTCGGGATCAAAATGTCAAATGTCTCTAATAATTTGTTGTCACCACATTAAGTGGTGATTATATATATATATGAATATTAATACATATATATACACAAACAGCAGTGGCTGACCCAGACAAACACATTTCTGAAGTTCATTTAGACCCTGTTGACATCACCTTCGGTGAAGTCTCCGCCCTGTATCATGAAGTTCTTTACAACTCGATGAAATGTGGAGCCTTTGAAGCACAACTTTTTCCCTGTGACTTTGCCAACTCCCCGTTCACCTGTAATCAGATACGCACGTTCACTGAGCTGTCAGAAACAAGGAAGCACACAACACGTCCAGCTAATGTACGAAATGTTCTGTGTATCCTGGGGGCCTCGAGGTGTTGAGTCTTAAATGTTACTGCATGATATTCATTCTGAAAGAGAATTAAATGGGTCGTTGAAGCATTGTGTTTATACTCCAGTGTAGGATTTATGAGGAAATTCTGCCTGGGGACGGAGCAGACGCCCGACGCTGTAAACCCACAGATTTATCATTTCCCTGGGGTGAAGGGAGATGGAACACAGAGATTTCATTAGGTCGGCTGAGGGTTTCAGGTTGGTTTCAGAGCACAGAGACTGGGCTGTTGGAGTGGGCAGATTGTGTTGTTAATGCACGAGTATTTCTGCTTCACTGACTTCAGCATTTTATCAAGAGGGTTCAGTTTCCCCTGATCCCTTTCTAAAGGCACACAACTGACTCTGAAAAAGCATTAGGTAAAGCAGATTCATTATGGTATTACTGTCCGGGTGTGTATTGTGTCTGTTCAGGTAAAATAACAGGCTAACCAGACAGATCCTGTGTCTGTACTGGGAAGCGTTACATTCCCACAGGCTGGGTGGGATGAAAAATGAGGAGAAAGGATCGATTTGCCGCCTGTTTGGTAATTTATAGCTATCTTTAGGCAGACCACCACTGTGGCAGAACACTGAGTTCTGCTTAGTGGGTTGAAATTTCCAGGAAGACAGGCGACGTCCCCTCTGTCCACCCAGTGACTCCATCTGTCACTGTTCCATTTACACTACAGCCATACCTCCTCTCCTCATGATATTTAATGACCAGAGAGAAGGACTGGGGTACAGTAACGCTTGACCTTCTACAACAACATTATCAAACACACTGGAAAAATACACCAACCCCCGATGGTCTGATTTGCATTAAATTTAAAAAAATTAATTAATTAACTGCAGTTTTAGGTTGTGTAGATCTTCAGTGTTTACAGCTGCAGTGGTGGGACAAAAACATTGAGAATGACTGAAGTGCTGCAGTGCAAATTATTCCAACTTTCAAGATTTAAAGTTACTCACCAGTACACAAGCTGAGAAAGTTTTTGCTTGTCTTGGGACAAATGTCTGAAAAAAGTTGAAAGACTATGCGCCCAACTACAAGAGAGAAAACAAAAAACAAAACAAAACAAAAAAAAAAACAGCAAATGAGATGAGGTCATGGCCCGAAGCTTAGGAAATGTGGAAAAGTACACAGAACATATAAATCATACATGTTATTTTACATAATAAATCTACTACTACAAAAAATAAGTAATTAATAGGCAAGAGAAACATAGTAGAATTTGATATTTATAGCCCTTAAGTTACAACACTGGGCATGACTAATTGGCTTCAGTAAAACTAAGGCACTGAAGAAACATTTTTCCATGGCTAGAAGCAAATGAAGACCCTGACCTACACATGCATCACAAATGATAGTCATATCATAAAGACCCACCAAACAAATATACACATTCTCTTTAATTAACACTTCAGAGTCAGAATCAAATCTGAATCTCAGATGCCAAGCAGAAACAGTGACTTTTTTTTTTAAAGATGTCCATTTTCTGTGGACAGTACAGACTGTCTGTGCAACAGATTTGAAACTCTCTTACCTGGCTCCCTGTTAAGCTCCACATCAAAATAACACTGAGGGCGGTCCTTCACCCCCATTCTGACCAGAGTCCAAGTGACCTGAGGAAAAAAACATAAAAAACAATCTATTGTGGAGAAACTGCAAATGTATACTTCTTATAGAAGTATAACAGAGTATGAAGAGTGTTAGTTTAAAACTAAAAGACAGCAAGGAGGGAGTGGAACAGAAATTCTGTAGGTGGAGAGAGGAGGGTGGGAGGAGGGAGAGGGAGAGTGAGGGCTATGAGGAACTAAAATGGATGGACAAATCCAAGCTCACTCTCACAGTTTACTGTGTAATTTAACTCTAGAGCATTAGATATCACTGTGTCACAGCCTACAGATTCAGCTCAAGGCTAAACAAATCCTATTCAGTGGCATCATATAATCAAAATAAGAGTATAAGTAGTGTAGATATAGAAGGAAAACACCCATATTATTGTAGTATGTGAACTAGAACTTGATTTGAATGTGTTTGTTTGCAGTGATTTTCATTGCTTAGTGTGATATAGAAGGAGACATTATATATTTAAAAAATAAGAATTGTTCACAGTATTTACATTTAAAGTTGTCAATTTAAACTCAGCCACATTCCTAAAAACGCCTCACAATATGAGTACACAATATGCCGGAAGTGTGAATTGTTGTCACGTCAGAATAACTGTTATTTACCAACCTGAACTACTGCATATTAAAGCGGGCTTATAGTTAAACAAAGTTTCGGTGAAAATAAGTCTTATTTACTTTACAAAAAATTATTGTGACACACATCCAGTCACCAAATGACACCAGGATCCACTGATGGAGGAAATCATGGCAACGTTAGCACCAGGCAAAAAGCTAATCCGTCAGACATTTTACATTTTGATTAATTTTTTTAATAAACACATTTCCACATTACAAGAAATTACGGCTGTTCAGACAATTAGCTTTAGTAAAAGTCCCCCAACGCCAGCATCAGCTACTGTATGGCAAGCGTTTCCAAAATGGTTGAGCTAATGACGATTTGCTAATCCGCTTTGGCTAGCTACCCTTGATAGCTCTATACTACAATGTGATTTACAATAAATGCAACAACGAAAATAAAAAAGACATTGTGGAGTTGTTATAATGAAAAAACAATAACTCACCTTTGTACAGTAGCTAGCAGAAAAGGTCGCTAGTCACTGACAGTCGGTAGGTAGGACGACTATGAGCTAAATTTCCATAGGTACGATGAAAATTCTTCTGATGAACGCTGTAGGGCAATTTTGTCCCTCCTGCGTTTCCGTAAAGTATTTGTTGTTGTTCGTTGTACCAGGAAGCGTGTTTTTACATAGCTTGTTCCCTACATAAAATATAAGCTGTATATCGAAATGAACAGTTATTCGGGTTATTGGTTATAAATAGGTTATACTGTTAATCGTATCTTTGTAGTGGTAAATCCTATCTTAACTACGACTACCTACAGTTTGTTTGCTATAATGCTATAGTCAGCTAACCTGCAGTGAATTATTGCAAGGTGCAGCATGAAAGCCATAATATTAAGGTAAGGTGTAATTAAGCGATATTGTGATTTATTGTTAGCCCTAAGGATATAAAATATTAATCTTAAAAAGGTTAATAACGATCGCTAGTTCTCGAATGTGCAATATAAATATCTTAGGGTATCAATGATTAAATCAAGCAATACAGCAAAAAATAAAGGCGACAATAATGATTTTTTAAATAAATAACAGGCGTTTCTTTGACAAAAAGTCTATAAAGGCTATAAAATAGCCTTTATAGACTATAGACTTCTCGTACTGATCGAAATCAGATCCGATTTTTGTTAATGAAACAAAACTTGTTTGAATATTGAATATTTTAGTAAAAAAAACCCATTAATGGGCTATGAAAACCAAATAAATTCAGCTTACTGTCACGGAAGAAGCATTACACAGTAACATTTAGAAGCTGACATTATTACTAGTTATTTATATTCCACAAACATATGCTGAGATAAACTATGAGCAATACCTCAAAGCAGAAATTTTGTTTTATCTGGCGTTGTTAAAATAAATTCAAACCCCAAAATAACACATTTGTCCTAATATTTATTGTGCACTTTGCAGAGAGTTTTTTCTTCATGGACCTAGAAGATCATGTCGCTGATCCTGTTTGCCTTTGTGGTACGCGTCAGGGACGGACTCCCCCTGTCGGCCTCCACAGACTTTGAACACAACCATGAGCTTCAGGAGAGGAAACATCAGCTCAGGACCATCAGCAAAGCACTGGCTTCTCTCCCTGACAGAGGCTCCATCGAGGGCCAGCACCTCAACACATAGTAAGGATTTCCAAAAAACCTGAAGCATCAGCAGACTGTTTCAGTCACCCCGGGTCTAGATCGATGTGACACTGTGTCAGGCTGTTTGTTGACAACACCTTTTCTCCTCTCTGTTTTCAGCTTTATCTCTTCGGAGGGTGTTTCCTACATGACCGTGTGCCACTGCAGCCTCCCTGTTGCTAAGGCCTTCTGCTTCCTGGAAGATCTACGTTGGGAGTTCACAGCATGCTTCAATACAACTGACGTTGCCTTGGCAGCCAGGCCCTATCCTTTTTTGCAATTTGGTGAGGACAGGCATATGTTTTGCTGTGATTTTTTACATTATCATGGTTAAATACAGCACAGTTGGTTAAACTGAACTCTTGTCTTTTTCCTGTCTTTTTTGACACAGACAGCACCATACAGAGGTTGAAGCATCAGTATAACCAAAGTGGAGGTCCAGCCCTGGAGGTGACGTTGGCAGAGGTGCAGGAGGATCTCAGGAATCAACCCCTGCAAATTATTAACTTGGATGAGATAGAGTTTACCAATGGCACCGCAAATGGGTATATGGAGCAAAATCCTGGATGTGGTGAGAAAATCTATTGTTAGACGCACATAGTTTTTATGCCATATAGTAAAACATTGAAAAATGCTCAGATACTTTGAACCATTCATTGGTTCTATTGGTAATATGTACATCTTAACTCTCTTCTTATAAACAGGTCTGAATGTGAGACTTGAACCAGTCACCCCTTCAGGCATCTTATCTCTTGTCCTAAACATCATGTGTGCAGCTCTGAATCTAATACGTGGCGTACACCTGGCTGAGTACACGTTTCAGGTGATGGTTTACCTACAATATACTTACAATACTTAACTGCAGAAATTATCATATTTATTAATCATGCATTTAATTGAATTAATTTTTTAAATATAATTATATTTAAATTTAAATTCCCCCTCTGACACAGGATGACTATGAAAGTATATGGAATGTTGTTGCTTTTCTTCTGGCATTTGTCTGCTGTTTGTTCCAGGTAAACGCATGTGTTTTAAACAAAAGTATTTATTTTTTTTATTTTTCACCTTTTTGTTTAATGAATCTTGTGGCTGACCTCTGTTCTCCCAGTGTCATCTCTACCTGTTCCACTCATCTCTCAAGAAGCAGAAGTCCTTCACTCTGCTGGCCGTGGTGGTTCTATGCAACCTGTACCTGCTCGGCCCGAGGAACGTGTGGCAGCTCGTCTTTCACATTTCCGTTGCGTCCCTTTCCACAGGTCTTATCCTCACTCGAAAAGTGCAGGACAGGACAAACGACTGTGGGGTCTGACGAAGGCGGGACATTTGACTCTGTCTCCAGCTTGAACTTTGTTTGCACTATGTGTAAATTGGTTTGACCCCTGAATAATCCCATCAGACCCGTCCTGTCCAGAAGACAACTCTCTCTGTTGTTGACCAAAATCTCGCTCTCTCACACACACACAGCTACATAGATTCTAAAGGGACAACAAAAAGTTCCTGGTGCCCACCTGTAAGTTTCAGGTGGGCACAGTAGCAGAATAGACGCGTGAGTTAGCCAAACCTCTTCCTTCTTTTAGCTCATATTCAGGATCATTCCTTCTATTAACCACTCATTAACTTTGCTACATTGCAGGTGACAGTTTGTGATTGTAAGAAATGTTAGGACTTTCAGTTTTTACTGTCAGAAGGTAAAGTACTCTGAATTGGTGGCAGTGTGGGATTTCTGAACTGTAGGATGTAATAGTTGAGTACAAGTATATAGAAAAAGTGGAGAATGCAGCTACTGTAATAGTGTTCAGTTGTTCACTGTTGTTCATAGTTCTAATTCTGATGGCTTTTTAGGTTCAATACTGTATCTCATCAGCTCTAAATATTTATACTTTCAGTTGTTCATAGTTCTAATTCTGACGGTTTTTTAGGTTCAATACCGTATCTCATCAGCTCTAAATATTTATACAAATTTTTTTCATCGGCGACAACTCATTCCTCAAAAACTCATTCATCAAATCGAAGGGCTCCAGTGTCATTGATTAAAGAAGAGGTGGCAGTGTGTAGACAGATACCCTGTTTAAACATTGCATTTTTAAATCATAAAGTCTTGAAGACAAAATGTTTTTGTACAATCAGAGTGAATTTTACATTTTTATTTCAACAGTATTTTACTGATTCTTGGATGTTTACTGCAGGAAAGAACATGAACGCACTGATCACACTGGGGAATGCTATTGAAAATGTTGGGAGAATGTTTTTTTTACCGTATTTCCTATGTTATTTTATGTTAAATATATGTGTGTGGGCTCAGCTACAACATTTATTTTGTCTTTAGCTTCAAATAGATTTTAAGTTTTTGTTTTTTGTCAAACAACTTATGTAGAGGCTGGTGTTGATCTTGTTGCAGTAATTTTATCAAGGAATTATATTATTATTGCTAATTTAAAAGGCTTATTTATCATCAGTTAGTTGTTACCTTTTAATTTGTTTTGGTCAGGTTCTATACATTTTAATAATCGGTGAGTGTGAAATACTACAGCATGGTGTAAAATTCTTACATTAGATACGATAAATGGTAGGGTCCTTGTTTTTTAAAGTTGTAGGACCAAATATTGTAGAGAATATTTTGACTGTCCTCTTAAAATGAAGGCTCAACATGTTTGGAGATTTTTAAACACATGGTTGTGGCAGCTGAATTATTTGGAAAAACTGCAACTGTAATTTAATGTTAAGAACTAGACATCAATCGTGACTGCCAAATCCAGTGGTGAATTCAGGGCTTTGTTGTTTCATGTGTCTGGTGAAACTGACATTTCATTAATAAACTATAATTCATATTTTCATTTTTTGTGTTTTCTTCGTCTGTAAGTGGAAATATAATCGTTTAATCAGAAAAAAAGAGCAAAGCTAACGTTGCTGCAGTAATAGTTAACAACCACTAGGTAGAGTCGTTTCACCACTTACTGAATATCCAATCTGCTCGCAGCTACGGCAGTAATCACTCTGAGTCAGGGGTTGTTTAAAAAATGCCATTGAGATAAGTTATACAAATCAATTAAATTCATTTTTATCACTAATTTAAAGTTTGATGCATTTGATCTACAAACTAACAAAATTTGAAACAAAAACGATTCAGCATATTTATGCCAACCCTATTCTTCAGATTCTTGCCATGTTTATGTTACATTACATTATCAAGTAATATATTTGGAAAGTGATAAACTCCCAGCATTAAACCAAACTCTCATTTTCAATGGAAACATCTTCACTCTGTCCACGTCGTTAGTAATAAAACACCACAGTGTTTGTCAGCAGATTCTGTAGTTGCCACCTGTAAACAAATGGACGATCTCTCAGTGGGATAATAAATCCACAACAACATCATTCAAACGGCCGGTTTTACAGCTGTATTTACCAGGATTTATCTCTCTTATCCTAATTGGCAGCTGCTGTCGAGGACCTGGTTTCTCTCTCCCACAGCAAATACCCTCAACAGCATGAGTGGTAATGCCCAAGTTTCCCCCACAAATCTTCCTTCCACGTGTTATTTACACAACTAATTGGTTGATTCTGAAAAAAATATGATTAACTGCCAGAAAGTGTCTCGGCTCATCCAGCTCACTCTGCCTTTGTTACTGTTTTGCCGGTTCTTTGTCACTGTGGAACTGACATAATGTGATAACTGTCACGTCCAACGGTGATTACGTGCACACACGGACACTGCTGCCTGTCCCTGAGACGGCCATCGTCATTGACAGCTGTCAGTGGGTGTTAATTCAGCAGACATCAGACACAAAGACTGGACTTCAGACTCACCATCAAAAGACTTACGGCCTGATTTGGACTTGGGTTTGTGATCCGTGGACAATCTTCATTTTATTGTTTTTTTTTTTAATCTTAATTTCATTAATTTCAATTAATTCAGGGTGTTGGTGACAGACTCAGTATAATTCCCTCACCGCAGCTAAGCATGCTACTATTATAATGAACCCTAACTAACCCCCACATCCATCACAAAAAAACTCCATTGTACTGCAGTGTTACTGCTACATAATTAGGTTCTGACATATACAGATTTTTGCTCCAGAATTTTGGACATAAACAAACTGCAAGTATACAAAATACTGCACTTCAGTGATAATACAGTAGTACCTTACCCAGACCAGATAGTATGGTCCAATTGGAAAACATTTATTTCATAAAAGACTCGAGACAGACTCGTACCTAGGCACCAAACTCAAGACTTAATTCGAACTCAGGTACAAAGACTCAAGAATTGACATGGACTTAATGTCAATTCTTGACCTAATGTCAGACCTAATGTGAACCTTTGTCAGAAAAGATGACTTGTCAACATCTTCGTCAGCCATTATAACAGTTAGGAGACTCTATGTCAGACCTAATGTGAACCTTTGTCAGACTAATAAAATTCAGTACAACAATTTCTGTTTTTAAAAGTAAAAGTAAATGTTTGTAACGGTCAACGTGCTGTGACGCTTCAGTTTGAGGTGAAATCGAGGTTCGTTGAACATAATTAAACAGCTGAAAAGGCTGATCATGAAGTACAGTATGAAAGAATGAAACCATTTTCATTGAAGTGTTTCACGTCTACAGACTGAGGAGTTTAAATCCACTCATGGCTGCCAACACACACTTTGGCAGGAACAGAATAAACTCCAGCCTAAAATAACTCATTTCCAAGGTCAATCCTCTGATATGGTATTCCAGGCCAGGGTGTCTTCTCACTCCTCTCCAAAAAGTCAATTACACTCAAGTGCAGTGGACTTCATCAAGGTGAGCCACTCTGGAATCCAATCTTTGTCCCAGGTTCAGTGAACATTCCATTAAATCCAAGCACATTCCTTAAGTAGTTCCAAAAGCCTGAATGTGAAAATATTTCCTTGACAAACTTGAGAAACGTCCTAATAACAACAAGCGTTTTTTATAAAATTTGAGTTTTGGAAGTTTATTCCCTAAAACCTAAGACAAGGTCACTGTTAAAGTTATTGGCAGTCAGTATCTGCAACGGGAAACTGCAGTTATGAATTATAGAATTTAAAAGTCAAAAGTTACTTCCTTTAGTTACTTTGCTTCATAAGACACATCAGTATTACATAGACACTCAGTCACATGTTCAGACGTAAAGATGATGCATTCATGTATCATAGATTCAACGGTCAGGAATCAGATTCAGGTGAAGTCAGAGCTGAATCCAAAACGTAAATTCTATAAAGCAGCAGCAGCAGCTGGTACCTCATTTAATTTAGTTTAAAAAAACCAACAGAATCTAGCTGTGAATCACACAAAGAAGATGAACTGAGCTCACCAGGTGTGGGGTTGAAGAATTTGACTGAAGGAGTCTTGATGAGCTCATCAACCTCAGGTGAGAGGAAGTAGGCTGGCCACGCCTACAGCCGAGAAAGAATCTCAGTCAGGACTATAGTAGATATAGTAGGAGAAATAGAGGGAATTACTGATCTAATGTAATCTAATCTAATCTGATTTAATCTGATCTAATCTAATCTAATCTAATCTAATCTAATCTAATCTAATCTAATCTAATCTAATCTAATCTAATCTAATCTAATCTAATCTAATCTAATCTAATCTAATCTAATCTAATCTAATCTAATCTAATCTAATCTAATCTAATCTAATCTAATCTAATCTAATCTAATCTAATCTAATCTAATCTAATCTAATCTAATCTAATCTAATCTTCCAGACTCCAAAACTGCCGTGGAGCCAAGTGCCATTGTGTAGTACCAGCTTCTGAAGCACATGTGAATTTTCCCCCAAGTCTAAACAACCCAGACTTTCATACAATGCAACGCCGTTGCCCAGACGACGCGTCGCACTTTAGACGCTGCATGAGTCACACTTTCCCCAACCAATGAAATATGCATTTATGTCAGGGGTGAGATCAAACATCCTGTCTTTGTGTAAATGTTGCTGGAACTGTTTCCCAAGTTTGTTTACACCCTGGTTAAACAGGACTCAGAGTGTGTGTGGCTTCATCACTTTCTTCTGTGGTGTGTGTTGACAGTGAAGGATGACGGTACCCTGGAGGAATGACTCTCCAATGAACTGCGCTGTGCATCCGTCGTGACTCTGTGCATTCTGCAAATTAAAAATCCATTCACGGCGCACTGACATGAAAGAGGCTTCGCACGACTACTGTTTATGAGAAAAGTACTGCAGTTTCACTAGATGTACACGTGGGAGTCAGAAGTTTATGTTGATCTGTTAGAAGTATATTCTAGATATCCCCCGTCCCCTTGATTTCTGTGCGATAAATGTCTGACTTTGCATCACCTTCAAAACATTTCTCAATTTGTAGAAACATCAGTGGACATGGGGGCGTCCAACCTGCTTCATCTATGGAATCGTTCATTCTTTGAAGCTGTCACTGCTCATGAAGTCACTGGTGTGCAACAATTAACTTCAAAGCCTGCTTTTTAAAAGAAGTCTTTCAGAGCAGCCTGTGATGTTCCATTAGCCATTGATCAGAGCAGGTCAGTCAAACGACCTGGGTCTGCAGTACAGACAGGTGGCATAAGGAAGGCAGGGGTTATTGAAACTGCCTCCACAGCACTAATCCAGTTGTTTTATACATAAAGCCTTGTTGTTCCAGGTCACTGAGTAGGGGGTGGTGGGTGAGGGGGTGAGGGGGTGAGGGGTGAGACTGTTGTCACGCCTGTGAGAGCAGTGAGACAACTACTCCGCCAACCTCCTCGGCCTGTAGGTCTGTAGACCTTACTTTTAGACTTTTACTTTGCTCGTAATATCATTACACTTGATGTAGTGCAACATTTTATTTATTTATATATTTTTAGCAAAAAAATAAATAAATGGTGTTTCATTTGCACCAAACAAGAAAAATTGACAACTTCATTATTTGACCTAATACAAAGTGCAGAAAATAATGAGCTTGATGTGAAAGGACACCTGTTGGTCAGAAGAGAAATAGTCACCTATACAAATATTTTTGTGTTTTGTCCAGTTTGGATGTAGCTTTTTATCTGTTTCTGTTGCTTATCTTTTTACACCACCACTTTTCAGGAAATTATTGATGACATCTCAGATACAGTTCTCTCATTTGTCTCAAGTGACATCGGGAAATTGAAAATCCTTCCTTCATTATCTCCTCTTTCATTATGCAGGATTTAAAAAAGGTCATCAAATTGTGTAAAGATAATTCTACTAAAAGTATATGTTGAGAACTTTCTCTTTAAAGACACTCCCAGAATGTATGTATTTTCTATTTTTTAATTTTTACATTTACATGAACATCAGACCCTGGTAGGTGGCAGTGCTGCACTTTGAAAAATACCAATGAATAAATGACCACAGCATCGTCTCTGTGGAATATCTGTCTCTGTAGGAACTTTAATTCCTGAGTGTTCTATCTTTTGGAGTTGACAACATTTCTTTTGTTAGAAGTAGACATACAAATGGATTTGATGTTCTGCAAAAAAAAAGTTGAAAACACTGATGTTGAAGGGAATGTGCAGTTTTTTCAGAGCAGGAAGTCCAAAGCTGTAAAAACATGTTTTCTTTGTGTCGTTTTAGAACTTTTTCCGATTTCATTCTCTACCCAGAGTAGCCTGACCCTGAGCAGAACACAAAGAGAAGAAGAACCGCAGGTCACTGATGATTTCTCTCTGCTGAGCTGAGGCTGGAACAGAATTTATCTATTATTTCCTAAAGGACTAAATGTGCTTCTCTCTAATAACATTACTCCACTGTGTCATTGTTGAAGAGTAGTTTCAAAGACATTACTTTACCAGCAGCAAAAGGCAAATTATGTTAAATCATATATTCAAAAAAAGGAAGGAAAACACATCACAAAAGCAAAGTATGAAGAAAATTAAAATGTAAAATAATTTATTTCACACAGATGAAGTGAAACAACGTCACATTTTTGTGGTCAGTTAAATTCCTCTGCCTGAACAACACAGGTTTGAATGGAACACTGTACAACAAACGGTTATATTTACAATATAAATACCATATTACCGACAGTATCCACTAGTACTGCAATAACAACAAAACAAAATGTTATATTACAACACAATATCCAGTTTACAAAACCAAGCGGTGTGATATTTTACACCGTAAATCGATTATACCGTTTATAGTTATAATTCTTATAGATAAAATGATTGTTGGTTAAAATATTAACACAGGGTTTTATTATGACCTCACTGACACACAACAATCATGCCAGCTCAAAAACCTGTGGTACATTACAACAGTATGGGAGGTACACTGGTAAATTCAACTATAAATACTGTACATCACATTAACACAGCAGAGAGGAACCAGACAATGGTACAAAATAAGCTTTCAGTTTTGATATGAAAAATACTTTACAGCTAAATGGTTAAAGGTTAGAAGACACTGGTATTTTTGAGTGAAAGATGTCCATAGGTGTGCTTTTTTACTTGGTAAACTAGGCTAATGCAGGTTTAAAGATAAAAAGTTACAGGTGAAAGATTTAAATAAAGATCTATAGATAGTCAAAGCATTTCAGGAAGCTAACTAGCAACAAACCAAACCAAATAAAGCAAGGTACAACTATACATTGTAAAACAAACAAACAAACAAACAAAAAGAGCATATGCTAATGCCACCAAATGAAGCTTAATAGTGCCCCCTAATTACAAAACATCACAAGATAACAAACATATTAAACTCACTGCATGACAATAAGTGGATGAATGTTATATCAAAAAAAGAGACATTAGGGCAAAACAAGGTTAGCTTAAAAAAATAGCAATAACAAAATTAAGAGATATTTTACTCACACAAAAAGCTGAATGTTTTTAAATACATAGGTTTTACAAAACAAAAGAAAACACTGAGGGTGAAACAAAGACGGCTCCATAAACAGGAGACATTTGAAGTTCCTGGTAAGGCATTAAATCTCCCACGATGTAGAAGCATAAACAAACAGTTACAGTGTGACACACTGCTGATGTTGTAGCCAACGTTACCATCCAGCAGGGCACCACAATCCATAGTAATTCATTACACTTTACACTGTGTACTTACTGTACAACATGAAATGACTCCTACAAAGAAAATGTAAACATTCAGGGACTGCATTACTTAAAGGCATTTCCCCTGCAGAGCCACAGAGGACCGACTCCAGCAGACGCTCAGCACTTATCAGCACAAAACTGCCTCCAGTGTTCAAACACACACATCCCATCATATGCACCAAGTCACAGACAGATACAAGCGGAGGGGCTGTACTGATAGAAGTGGTAGCAAAGGGCAAACAGTCTCTTATGAGAGTGATAGTGCAGAGAAGGGCATTGATTTTTTTTTTGTTTTTTTCACGACCATCACTGTGAATCAGCATCCTCCCGGCCGACCAGTGTGAAGCCTGATTCAGTTGATGTATGGAAAATAAAGTTGCCAGCTGATCATCAGCCAGACGTTTGTCTAATGAGAAAATGTCCCACTGAGACTTTTGCTCTTTTTTTTTAAAAATTAATTACAAAGATGCAATATAAACTCCACTGTGAGGTTCGGTGACAAATTGAATCTGCTCGGCCAGAAAAACAAAGAACGCAGTTCATTTGCTTTAGCTGACCAACTTTGTTCTATTGGTTGATCATTAACTGACTATATCACGTTGGGTGATATATGTTGGGACAGATGCAAATCCTCTAGGCTTTACTTTTTATTATAGGTGGATAGGTATTATAGGCTTAGTAACAACAACTTAAATTAAGTTTGTATGTAAAATACTAAAATCTATTCTTTTGTTTGTTTATTGTTTGTTGTTTATTTTGATTGTTTAAGCAGTTAACCAAACAACAGATTTAATCTCTTACTGTAGTAACTACACCTGACTTTGCATTCGGTGTTGAAATAAAACCTCCAACTGTCGTGTCTCTGCATCAGTCCTGTTTATTTAATGTCCCAGAATCCACTTAGGGATTTTTCTTTTAATCTGGGTTTAATTAGATCAGATGGCGTGTTTGTGGGGGTGATTCCCGTTAGCATCCTTCCACTACTAACATTCATCTGTCACAGTTAACTGGCGTGTGAGCACAGAGAGAACGTAATCACTATCGATCACAATTTGGTAACAACATTAATTAAACATTTACCGGTCACTTGCACCAAAATACAAAGAGCGTAAAGCTAATGTGTGAAAGCTAGTTTTTTGTAAGAGTCATGGAGATAGGATGATTGGCCACAGGGTCGTTTCTCAGGTGCATCTGTCGCCTGGATTCTCTCTTTGTCCCTGTTCTGTGAATCTTCTCCCACAGCTACAGCTTCACCTGCGTCCTGTACACTCTTCCCCTGTTTTTGGCATGGAGACGTGGAGCCACCTTTCACGGTCTGTGCGAATCACATGCTGGACAAATCGTCGTGACAGGACGAGGATCCCCGTTGAGCTTTGGGGCTACATCGTGTCAGCATGGTGATCTGAGTGCTGAAGTTGTTGCTGCTGCCGATGGACGGGTGTTGGTACTTGGTGTAAGAGTCCATGTATCGCTGCAGGTTCCACCGCCGCCATTTCCTCTTGATCTCCGATTGAACCTGGGCAAAAAACAAATTGCAGCAACAAGGAGGCCAGTGAAAAATAGTTCACTTCAAAATGCAATAAAACCCAAATTGGTATTTCAATTATTTAATGAGGACTTAAGTAGTTAATGCCCTGGTTTGTCTTTATTTAATCCAAGTGTTCATCAATGGCGTTCACCTTCCTCTGTTTGTTTCACTTGTAAATAATTACACCGTTGATGAGAAACCTCTAAATACTGAAATATTTATGGACTAATCTGGGTCTCATTTCCTTGTAACACATTGAGAATTGTTTTCAACAAGTGCATAATGTGCTGGATTCTTTTTCAAGGATGCTGCCCTCTGTCTTTGTTTTCTAAGTGGAAGAGGTTTGTCTGTGAGAGTACGTCATTTGTTGTCACACACCATAGTAGTACAGGTCAAGGCGGGAGCCGCTCAAAGTCTCACTGTTGTCATTTACATTTCTCTGGTGAAGTAAATGTCCAATCAGCGTCTTAACAGCTAAGACTGTTGATTTTTGCTGTATTTTTTATATCTATCCATATTTTATACCTGTTTACGCAACACATGGCCATATGACTGTGTTTATAGTGCCCTCTGCAGGTTGTTATTTGTAAACAGTGCAAGAAATGACTGCATATTTGTTAACTAAATTAAACATTCTATTTAAAGTATCTGTTTTTATTTACAACTATCTTGTGAAAACTTAATTATATTTAGTGACTGCGCCCCACTGTGGACATTTATTTTTCAAAATATAAATATAAAACTTTGACAGACAAAGTATCCCACTATTAGTGTAGTTTCTGATTGGAGATGAGTGTCTGTGTGTGTGTGTGTGTTAGTCTGTATATTGTTTCTATTTTTATACCTCGGACAACCTAACACACTTAGTTGTACTCATTATGCAATGGAGTGTACGTTTTATTCCATTATGCTGCTGCTCCCTTTGTCTAATTTACATTTTTATTACACTCTATGAGAACATGTTAGTGACTACATCACAAAGGTATAACAAAGGACACCTGAAAATTGCAGCAAATTAAAATTCAGGCAGCGTAGTTGTCGAGCCCTGCCATCAAGCCCATTACTGTGATTCAATCTGGCCCTGCAGAGGGAACATAACTAATCTGCCCACGGAGAGCCTCTCCAGACTTTGCTGAATAGCTCGGTGCCATAAAGGCTACGCTTTTTACAGCAATCCCAACCTGCAGGCACAGAATAGAAAATTCACTGCAAGGAGGTCCAAGGCGGGCAGGAGGGAGACAGGGGTCCAGAGCTGGTGACTCACCCCTCACAACATCACCAGCCCTTCAGGACCATGTTTGTTAGAGTGCTCCCAGGGAGCCACACAGAAGTACAGATGGACTTAATCATGTGAAAGTTACCACGGCTCTACTGAGGGCTGTCTCTGCACGAGGGTGGACTCCTGTGCCTGTACAAACTGTTTACATTAGTGTGTGTGAGGGGACGAGGGGGCTGGGGGGTCACGTACCTCTCCATTAAGGAAGCAGTAAAGCACAGCAACCACAAAACCCTAAAGGGAAAGACAAGAACACGGTGACGTACAGGAGATAAAAGAAAAGTGCCCAGACCAAAACAGAGCGCAGTGATTGGTGGATGTGGTTTACAGTGAGGACGGAGGAATGGTGGGAACAACCAGAGGAATGTGCCGGGACATTTTCCTTGGGATCCAGGTGGTCTGTGATGCAGCGGTGTTTTCCAGGTATACTGTGTGTCATACTTCCTCCTACTTGTAAATACAGTGAAATAACTTGAGGCCCTTACTACATCAGAATGAGTCTGCTGAGAGCCAGGGGGACTGAAGTGTGGTTGGTTTTCTGTTGTTGTTGTTGTTGTTAATGGAAAGGTCAAGGCTTACAGCACAGGACGCCAAATACTTCCATCTAGAACTGTGATTCTTTGATTACATGGTCTTGGACCCAGAAGTCAACATATTAATTTTGATGGTCTTAATTTTACTTCCAAACAGTTTATATGGAGTAGTAGTAACAGTTATATGCTGTAAGCAGTGGGAAAAACCTTGGATCATTCACACAACCAAGACATAGAGTTCTCCCACCTGTATAAGATAAGATAAGATAAGACTTCCCACACTGGGGAAATTCACTCTAATATATAGTATAATATATTACACCAAAGTGTTTTGTCACAGATGAAAGACATTCTCCGTTGGATCTCTGCTGATGAAATGTTCTTTTTCTTATTGCACACTTGATATTTGTGCTCTTACTGTACAAACATATGTCCACAAACTAAGTGTATTTAATTTAGTCTTGACAATGTCCTAATAAATGTGTTGTTTTCATTTCTGTCCCGTGTTGCTATTGTTAATAAAGTACTTCTTTTTCCTCTCCCTTTTGTTCTTCCTTCATACATTGACATTAGCTGGTGCTAAATGCTAATGGCAATAGTTATGCCCTGATGTTTTGGTTTTACAAATTGTACTTTTCATTGGTCATTAAGTACGAACAATAAATTCAGTTCCTATAAGAACAGAAACTGTTTAACAGCTTTCAGAATCCAAGAGCTTCTCAAAGCTGAAGGCAGTAACGGAAACTGTTTAACAGCTTTTAAAAAACCAAGAGCTTCTCAAAGCTGAAGGCAGTCACACAGTGAGATCTGAGAACGGAAGCTGACGAATCTCGTTTTTTATAGAGCACAAGAAGAACAGAAGTGAAGTCTTTACTCGAACTTTTCTCAGATTCAAAGACTTAGATATGGTGAAGCTGCAGAGTCCTGACATGAATCAGTCTTTGAGTCTACAGGATCACTTTGACAGAGTAAACATGGAGGACTTACAGACTCAAACTAAAGGAAATCCAAGTGGTGGTCTAAAAAGTTTGCAAATTCCTGGGTAGAGAAAAAGTTATCATTGTACCTGAAACGACCCCAGGATCAAGTCAAAAATCATCCGTAACTCAGTCTTTACTTGCTCCGGGATGAAGGCAAACACGATGAAATTTATTCCAAACAGTGGAATCAAAAGCAGCGTGGATTTTGCCAGTCTCCTGAAATGACAGAGACGAGGGGAAAAAGCATCACATTCAGAGTTCCCCATTGGTGAAAGCTTATTTTTAGATCCACGTCTCCATATGCCAATAATGAAACGTAGCCCCAGAGTGCTTCTCATTCTGCGTCTAAACACAGAGGAGAGGGGATGAAAAAAAAAAAACACTATTAAAAGTGGAAAAATGGTTCACACATTAGGGCTGGCTCAGAAACACTCTCTCAGATTGCTGCATCTCTCAGAGTGAAAAAGACAAAAGTTCAGACTCTCACATTGGACATTTCTGTCCCTTTTTTTCCCTGATCTTCAAAGGTGTTGATCTATAAAATAGTTTTTCCTTTGAGATATAATTCAATACCTTTACAAAATATTTTACAAAATACATTTTTTCATCTCTCTGCTAATGGGGAGCGTTAATTAAAAGGAAATCTACTCACAAATACTGGTTTGACTCGTTCCTGCCAATATCGGGACAGTTGATCTTCTGGCGAAGTATGCGGATGATGCAGATGAAAAGGATGGAGTTCATCTGTGGAGTTCACAACAGTGTTAATTAGGGCTGATTCATCAAATATTTAACAAGACGTTCGAACAGAGCTTGTTAAAAAAAAGAAGAAGAAGGAAATACACATCTGCAAAAAGTTTGAGAAATGCTTCTCAAAAAAATCTTGGGTTGTGTTTCATCTCCCTGTGACGGGTTTGTGGAATGTGCCCTGAATAAAGAAGAGAATTCCAGTGTTTACATGATTACCTTCATTTCTAATTTGAGAGCACATCAGTTTTGTGTTGACTCAATTTGTGAATAAATTCTGTTCAAAATATGCAGAGACTTTAACCACCAGACACGCCTGGTTTGAACTCAGGGGGTAAACTTCAGTGTTCCATCACATTTCACCACCTGCTGTCTACATTTCAGTTGAAAATTAAATCTGAACTATTTTAATGTTGGATATGTCTTAAGAATGAAATGCAATTATTAAACACAAACACAAGATTAATAAGAATAAAATATGTTTCTGCAGCTGAAAGAAGGGAAATTAGAAGAAGAAGAAGAGATAAAAGACGGCAGCCAAGTCCTCATCTATAATTCAGTGACGAGCCGTCAGTCAGTGAAACCAATTGTTAGTACTTATCCTGCCAACATTTCAAAGAAGTATTACAACTTTTGGGTCACACCAACCTCTGACATGCCAAAGAATAAAAAAAAACCCTGCAGTGTACAGTACAATCACTTAGTACAAGGGCTGTCAAACTCAAATTCACAGTGGGCCAAAATTAAAAACTGGGACAAAGTCACGGAGCAAAGTTAATATTTATGACTGGAAATGTGGCTGTTTTCCCTTCTGTTCAGATATGGAATGTTTTTTTTTTCATATAGAAACAAACTTAGTTTTGTATAAACATTAAATTTAGAAGAACCAAAGCTTAATATTATAAACACATGAGAAATTAAATTAGAAATAAGACACACATCAGTGGTGTTTGTTTCTTATTATGTCTCTTTATCTGTAGCCGTAATAAAGTCAATCTTTTTTCACAGGCCAAGAAAAGAACAATCAAAAATGTATGTGCCATAACATGGAGCATCACTCACTAAGATTGATGCCAGGATGGGAGCTTTGATGATCCACCAGAAAACATCAGTGGTCTCAATTATATCCCAGCACCTGATGAAGTACAAAACCAGCTTTATCTGACAAGTGGAGCCAATCAAACGAGAAAGCGCTGATATCTCATCAGGCATCGTCTCTCCGGTGTTTTTCTTACCCCACATCATGGTAGTAGGCTTTGGCGATGCTCCACGCTGTGATGAAAATTGTTGGACCTCCTGTGGACATAAAAAGAAAACACAGACACACACACGTGCCCAGACAAAGGCACACGTCACAGTTAATACTTCATTCCACCACCAGGGTTATGCTCTGTTATCTGTCCACAGCTGACAGTCAGTGTGGTTCTCACTCAGGGACAGCAGGGGCAGAAAGAGACATAAAAGAGACGCATCCTCACCCCAGCCAATCAGGATGTAAGCCCAGAAGTATTTCTTCTCTGAGAAGAAAGAGACGGCCAATAATGCGTGAAGATAAAGACCCTCCACCAGCAGCCAGAAGAAACTGGCCATTATACAGTACTGGAAAAACACAATCGCGGCCTTGCAGCCAACCTGGCAACGCAGGAGACACAAGAGACATTAAATCACAAAGAGTAACGAACAATACAGAGATTTAGGAATGATTTACTGTTTTGTAGCACTTTATCTGAAAGAAAATATTCAGCATTTTTCAACTGTGTCAAACCTTCAGAAAAAACAAGTTATATATATAAAAGAAATTCTTTGTTTATATTTTGACGTCTTTTACACTGAACTCATCCAACAAGAATGAACAAGAACAAATAGCTCATAGAGTTTCATGCATTTTTCTGGAGTGTGGACAGATCATCATCACTGACACGAAAATGACTGGGAAACACGATACAAAATTGGTTGGTTGTTTTAATCCCACAGAGTTTTATTAAGGCAGAATATTTACTAAAACTAGATCAACTTATATCACAAATATTATATAATATAAATAATATATATATATTATTTTCAATTTAATTTTTAACCAACCATTTAATTAATTTTATTATTATTAATTTAACCAAAACAGACATAAGACAATGTTATAAAAAAACAACAGAACCAAAGTGATGACCTGACATTTCAGCCACATTAACCCAGAGTCTAAGGCTTCAGGTTTGAAGCTGTGATGCATTTTTAAAGATATGATAAATTGAGATCCATTTGTATTCAGTTTAAAGTGTGTGAAACCGCCGAGTTAAACTGTTAAATTGTCCCAGCGCCTGGAAAAGTGTCTGTTTAAAGTTTCTTTTTTTCACAGTGATGGAAGACTCGTGTAACTTTGCATTAAAATTACAACACTTGTTCTTGAATAAACCATTAATCTCACTGCAGTCACTCTGAAGTGGGAGCTTTGGGACGTTTTACTTCAAAAGTTAAGAAAAAAAAGAAAGAAATTCTACTGCATTTTATTTTTACTTAAACGCAGTGTTTTTTATGAAATGTCTTTCTGATGTTGAAGTCTTTTTAAAAAAGAGAGGAAAAAAACAATGATATGAGTTTTTCCAACTTCTTTCTTGTCTCTTTTATATTGGCCATCACTGACATGTCAAACAGTGACTTTGTTGTTGTTTAATCCAAATTCAAACACTACGGCCGACACTCCCCGTTCACTTATTTGGATTTTGCAGCTTATTTAAATTAATGTCACTTCAGGGTTGGTGTCAGGAGGTTCTTCAGTCGACTGCTAATAAACACAGAATGTTCTCTAAAGGAACACATTCAAATAGTTTTCACCAAGAAATAGACGACATGACAGGCACACAGGTGTTCGGAATTATATTGTGAAGCCAGATATATTATATATTTATTTAAAAAAATATATATTGTAAGTCAGAAAATTATTTAGTTACTGATGCAAAATAAAACAAGGGGAAAATATTTTTTTTTAAAAACTACCAAGAAAAAAGTGTTAAAAATATATAAATATATATATAAATACATGCTCTGTATACATTAAAGCAGCTGTTGTGTAAATTATGCTAACAATATTTCCACCCAAATACATGAGACATATGTTAATAATAGGATTATTAACAAGGTTAGGTTTAAATAATATCACTCGCTGTTTTAATTATTCCACACTGATTATTTAATGACTATTGTTATATGTTTGCGTAAGCCTTTTGCTGCGGCATTAGAGCCTGATCCTTATTTAATTTCCCAGAATACACTCTGATTATGTGTACTGTATATTAATGCAGGCATGAATGCAGTCAGCATTGATTGGGAATGTATTCACACTGTATAATAAGGCAGTAAAGGACTAATTGTGTTGTTGCGTAAGAGCGCAATATGAAGACATCAATATGACATCTCTGTTGATAAACATATGCAATCAAACCCCAGTCTGGCCTCTGTAATTGCTCTGTGAAGAATATACCTCAATTATGACCTCCAGGGAAAAAGAAGGGAATGAAAAAGTAAATTAAAAGCACATACAGTAGACAACGCAGCCCATGGACGCCGCGGCTTGTTAACTCACAGAGGCGGAGGAGCAGTTTTCCACCTCCCCGACTTCATACAGCACCACGTCCTTGATGAAGACGGCGATGGCCTTCAGGATGAACGATACAAACAAGTGCATGTGGATGTAGTTCCTGGTGCAGTGCAGCTTCCTAGTAAAACAGTGACACAGGTTGACATACAGTCATAAAATGACGACTCGTATGTAATCACAGGTTTTTGTTCTTTTTGTCCAATGTCCTTGGACTCAATGGCTTTAAACGCCAGCAAATCATAGACCTGAAGATCACACCCTGTCATTTACCAACGTGTTTCCTTTCAGTGCTGCAGATCTGACTCTCCTGCTTTTCTAAAAAAATAAAGGGGCATTTTTTTTACTGTCATAGTTATTTAAAAATAACTATTAGAAAATATCAACAATATTCACTGACTTCTGAACACATCTCGATGACAGTATTGTACTTGAAGAACCAGCAGTGACCGAGGAGCAGCTGGAGAAGTTCTGGGATGGTTTTCAGTTTGTGACTCTGACCCAGTTGTCTCTGTCACCCCCCCGTTTTTACCCCCCCGCACCCCCCCCAAGATATTAGGCCAAATTAAACTAAGTCAGGGGTTTGCTACATATATTAACATCGACAGAGAATCTGATGGGTTTTTTTTCTGCAGCTCTTTCTTTTAGAGAATCAATGGCTTGTACATTAATCATCATCTCCATAGTTACTGTATTTAAAACCCCCCTCAGGTTCCACCCTGCAGAAGAGCTGGGCGAGCACGCAGTGGCTCATTAACATTATAAAATAAAGGCACAGACCTCGGCCCTTCTTTATTCTTTATTTACTAACAGACATGGATGAATCATATTAATTTACACAGACGTAGCAGTAAATGTAAACGTCCTTTAAAAATGGACATAATTATATTTTGAGCATGTTGAGGGAGTAAAAAGTATCTTCTATTTCAGTATCCATTATCCTGTAACACATTCACAAATGTGTTGTGTTCAGTAGGATTTAACATCAACAGTGATGCCATCAACATAGTTGTACCCACTGAAGCAGGAAACACTGTAGCGTACGTCAGGAAAAAAAAATACAAAAGTCAACGGCCTTCAGTGCGAGAAGTGAGAGCTGAAATAAAAACAGTTTTGAATTGAGAAATGAAAAGAGAAAATGAAGTGATTGTAGGGGGTGAGGTAAAGAAAGAAATTATTGAACAGCTAAAGTACCTGTGTGGGTGGTCTGAAGGCCTGGAGACTGAATGACTTATTTATACGTGTCCTCATTTAGACTTTGTCAGCACCTCTGTGACTTTTCTGTAGGGTTGGCGTAATCAGACCTCAGATAAATTAGTCATCGGCGTGGACTTCAGATGTAAAGCAAAATGTACATGATTCTACAATTCATATGGTGAATCTTTAAGAGAATGAACTGCAATCCAAGGCTGAGGTCTTTCTGAGTCATTCCTATTGTACGGTTGTTGAAATGCGTCCTTGGCTCGTCCAATAGAAAAGGGTTTAATAAAAGTCTCATTAGTGTAGATGTGTCAGCTTCACACCTGTGAATCATCCAGAAATCACAAAACAATAAGTGAAAAAAAAAGCTGTTTTTTTTTACCCTTCCTAACCCTTCGTTTTTTATTCATCACTCTTGTATCTCAGCTCAGATCTGAGATTATTAACTCTCAGCGCTGGTATTTGACACGGAGCGATGCATGTATCATGTCGCCCAGCAGGAACTGTGTCAATGTGTTTTATGTTAAATTGCTTGTATTAGTTTTCTGGACAGGAAATCTCTTGTGAAATCTCTGTACAATTTCATCTCTTTCCATCTTCTGAAGTGGAGGTCAGGAAATGTAGTTATCAAACTGCATGAATTGCAAATTCCAGAGCACGAGGAAATGTTTTTTATAGCTTTTCACACACAGGTGGTTTTGAAGTTTGAAATGAAGGCCTCAACATACAAGAGAGGTTTGAAAAAAGTCAATTCAAAAATATTATTATTTGAAGGTTTCAGTAAACCTGATGATTTTAAGTCTCTATTGTGTTTTTCTCTTCATATCCAACTGTTTTTACAGAAAAGAAAAAATTAACAGAAGAAAACAAAGAAACAGAAGAGAGAGCCACCTGAGGTGGTGAAGATTTGTGTCTCACCTGAAGATGCACAGGATGACAATGGCTGTGGTGAGAGAAACCAGAGAAACACTGTGGCCGATGGTGTAGCCAATCTTCACCTGCAAAAAAAACTTACCCTGCAAAACAAATACAGAGTCAAAACCAACCAAAAATCGGAAATGTTTTCCAAATCTGAGAGTTAAACTTTTTTTTCATCGTTCCCTCAGACCATGTAAAGGAGCACAAGGTTACAGCTGGGGAGGTTCGTGTTGTACCAGATGGAAATTATATTAAGTGCCCTGCAACCTGGTGATATCCAGTAAAAGATGGACCTCACAGCCTTTTATGGTGCTTCAGCAGGCGGAGGGTAATCATGAAGCTGCCTCCGTGACTCACACAGCTATATGTGATTTATTTAAATGTATTAAATGTCTTTATTCTCCTCCTGCCCTTGAAGCTTACGTGAACCGTGTCTAATGAATCACATTGTCTGATAAGACAGGTATGTTTTAACAAATGAGCCGGCCTCAAGTGTGTCACGACTCAAAGACGTCCCTGCTGCAGCAGATAAAGGCTTTGTGGTGATTTAATTTCTGGAATTACTTTTTTTTTTTTTATCTTGATTTATCATCAAGTTCCTGTACAGAATAAATCAAACATTTGTTACAAATTTAAGTCTATTTTTGAAAAAATCAAATCTAGGAATCCAGTCACATTGCTGCTGAAAAATTAAATAACACAATTTTTTTTAAAAAATTCAGGATCCAGAAGAGGGCTTCAAGTCATGGTGATAAAAAGAACAGTCCATGACACTTATGAAAGTTTAAACTTCAGGTGTGTGCAGACTATTCAGAGACTGCGTCAGACTGGTTTGAAGTGGAGAATGGATATAATTCATGTCTGGATCTTCACTGTACAAGTCAAGTCCTGGACTCCAGTGTAACATTAATTTATAAAACACAGTAACTAAAAATATTAGGTATTTCATTTGGACCATAAAGCCTCCGTGCTGCTCCGTCTTAATGACTGCTTCACTCACATCATCACTGGTGCTGTTGACATTGTATCCACAGTTTACAGCGATATCAATGGGCTTCATCTCAGTCCAGCCATTCTCTGTGCAGGTTTTGGAGAGATTACCTGGAGATGAAGATATGGACAGATCACACACACACACACACACACACACACACACAGTAGGTCAATCTTTCCTTCTCTCCGTTTCCCAAATGGGGATTAAAATGAATAAAGTGTTCTGTGTTTTTTGAGGCTCTGTCTCTGGCACCGTTCACAGATGAGGTAAACAAACGCAGCAGCTCACTTGTTCTGCTCGAACCGCTCAGTGCACGCTCACACACTAATGTGCTGACGGTGACGGCTGCAGTATCTGAGCTGCTGGATGACTCAGATGTTGACATTATAATCCTGATGTTGACATTATAATACTGATGCTGTCACTTTTAACACCACTCCTGGTGACATGGACCCAATAAAGAATAGTGTGTATTTATGTAAGTACATTTGAACTTTTGAATGTGTTTGTAGTTCAAATTTCCCTGGTGTTGAGTCAACAACTGGTTTAAACCACGATAGACAGACAGACAGACAGACAGACGGACAGATAGACAGACAGACAGATGGACAGACAGACAGATGGACAGACAGACAGATGGACAGACAGACAGACGGACAGACAGACAGACGGACAGATAGACAGACAGACAGATGGACAGACAGACAGATGGACAGACAGACAGATGGACAGACAGACAGACGGACAGATAGATAGATATTTGAGTCAAAATTTACAAGAGTCCACTTCTTATTGAGATGTCAAGGATGACAGTGATGAAGAGGGTAAGAAAGACATCCATATTGTGGACTTTGAACGTCAGTCAGATAATGTCAGGACACCTTGATCTTTCCTCAGCAGAAGAGCGCAGCTCTCAGGTCGGGACAGTTTTTGATGACCCTGGATGCCGTCATTTTCCGAGCCTGCTGTGGCGGTGAGTAACTTAAGTATAGTTTTTTTTTGGTCCTGCTGACTTGCCCTGCAGGCATGTCTGTCAATGCTCTAGTAAAGCAGATGCCAGGTCCCTTTTATCATCTTTTATTTTCAATCATTTACACCCCGCGACACCGTATTCTCATGTCAGTGATGGAGTTTTCCCCGATCACGTCGTGTGAATGGAATGTTATAACGGGAGGCAGCAGCGTCCACTCTGTGAACAATTCCAGTTTCCTGGATGTCATCATACAGCTGTGTTTTAACAGAAACCACTGAAGAGAAAAGGTGGAGGAAGATATAGAAGGATGTTGAATGATACAAGAAAAACGAAAAGATGTCCACGTGCCTCCAAACATAAAAAAAAATCTCATAAGAAGACTTTAATAAGGACAAATCCTACAGAAGATTCAGGGGAGAAGAGAAAAAAAAGATTTCAGAAGTTCAACTTCAACTTTTTTTTTCTTTTTTTTGTGGATGGTTTGTCGTTCTATTAGAAAAACTGAATAATTTAAGCTTAACCTCCTTTTGGTTAACCTGAGGCTGGATGTTATTTTTCTGGGTCTTATAGCTACAAAATCCCAAAGGCTTATTTAACAAGAACACATTAAAAAGAACAAATTAAACCCCAAAGTTAAAAAGTACCATGATATGTACTGCACGAGTACTTCTACTTCAATGTACTGCCTTCAGCTGAAAGCAGAGCCTGTGCCATCGGAGCCTGTGGACGTTTTAAGTGTATCCTTCATCTTTTGAAGAGCAACATTTTCCACATGTGTCAAATTTGTTGTTTGACTCTCTAAGATGCAAATGTCTGTACAAGTGCACCATCATGACCAGAAGGAAGAGGAATTCACACGTATTCCTGATTTTCCCTGCTGGTTGAGAGGCGGTGGATTGGCCTTCAGTCACACTCACTGATGGAAAACATTCGACTGAGGAGTTCCACTGGAACTTTGTGTCACATTATGCAAAGGCGTGTTCCCTTTGTTCTTCTCCAGATGTATTTCAGAATCACACTTATTGTAAAACTTGTAAAATGACAATCACCATAGCAACGAGAAGCTGTGGTTTCAAGTTGCACATGTTGCTCTATCACAGTGTTTCCCAACCTTCTTTGCACACACAGAGGTTCAGAGCCAGCTGCAGACAGGAACACAGCCACTCTGGTCTAACAATGGATATTTTTGGGTTATCTGTGTGATCTGCTGCCAACTTACAGTGCAACTAAAACACAGGCTGGAAGAAGTGGTCGGTGATCTCGCCTTACAGCAACACAGTCTCAGGTTCACTGGTTCAATCCCAGCTCTTTCTATTTTCCTCTGGTTTCCTCTCTCTGTCCAAACTATTACAGCATTAACTCAATTATTCTCTCTAAGTTGACCATGTGTCTGTACCAGGTACAGGTTTGTATGTAGCTGGTTTGTATGGACTGGAGAACTATCCAGATTCTCCCCTTTCCTCGACACGATGACTGCTGTCTTTGGCTCCGGTTTTCCCCCACAATTCCCAGAAAAGGATAAAGCAGCAGAAGATAAATGGATGAGTAAAACACGGGAAAGAATGCAGCATTTTGGAGATTACCAAACGCACTGCTCCATGAAGAACACCGACACACTATCTGGAAATGATTATATTTATATATATCACACATTATCGCTCGCCTAAAATATCCACGTTGTCAAGGAAAATCGGCTGAAATCCAAAATATGAGCCAAGTTTAATACATCTCACTTTTAACGTGCCCAGAGGAATACATTTTACAGCGGTGTATTACTCATGGCAGTAAAAGTCCAATCTTCTCATGTCACTGTACATAAGTAGCGTCTTTGTCAGGATCCATCAGTGATCACTGTCTGCACCAGGTAAAAAATAAAAAATAAAAAAAAGTGTGGAGGTGTTGAAAAGAAAAAAATGGATCTCCATCAGCAGTGGGTTTAAAATGACTGAGCGGAGGAGACAGAGTCTGCAGTCAGGAAACCAGAACTGGTGTTCACGCTGATCTGAGCCACCGTGTTCCTGACAACAGTGCACTCTGTGTGCAATACATCTGATGTGCATTACTGTATATATAAAAAGGAAAAACAAGCTAATCTAAAGTTAGGACAAAAGGTTTGGACAAAAAGACAGAACTAATCAAAACATTACTAAAGGCAAACGTTTACAAAATACAGAGATTCACCATTAACAAAATCTTTAAAGTATTGACATGACAGCCTGGAGGCTTCGTACTCTCACACACTCACAGTGATTGGACTAAAGCCATAAACAGAACACCTCGTGTTCCTGGTCCAGATCTCATGTTAATAAATCATCTCTCTTCCTGCCTCCTCTCTTCTGTGTCTGGGCTTTTTCCATAACAGGGGTTAGAGCGTGACCTGGATTCCTGCTTGTTTTCTCTCAGTCCGTCTCTTTCTGCATGTTCGCTACATCCAGCTGCTGTAAACACGACATTACATTTACATCAACCCTGGTGACCAACTCTTATCCTGTGTTCCAGGCACCTGGAAAACCTCCCACTCTCTCCTCTGCTGTATGTTAATGCTCCACACCATTATGGACAAATAGTTCCTGATTATTGTTCAGTGCTGAAAAGCACAAAGAAAAATGTTCCTACCATGTGCAGTGAGCTGAGACCATCACTGAGAAAGTTTTCAAACGTTTAATGAATCAGTCAGGCAAACAATGAGGCTGCAGTGAGGATCTCCACGGGAGCCTGGGAATCAAACTCTCCTCTTCTCTGCGTTGTTTGCCTCAGGATGTCAGCAGGGTTTTATCATGTCCTCAGGAGGTGACACTGAAGCCACCGTGATGCCTTCAAATGCCCATTTGCATGCACATGGCACGTCTCTCATTGTGCCAAAGGCACAAATGTATGCAAATCAATCTGATGGATCCACAAATCTCTGCACAGCGGTCTGTCTGTCTGTCCCACTGATTTATCACATTTTGAACTCTTCACGGCCATTTGCACCAAATCCCCATGTGCGTTGTGTCACCAGGTGTCAGGCTTTGTTCAGGACTGAAAAGAATTTTTTTTTTTAGCCACAAATTGAGATGTTCCTCTTTGTGACACAACCGTCATCTCAGAGCAGCAACTGATGGTTGTCATCCCACAGGCATCTGTTGATCACAGGTTTACCTGACACCGTATCGATCCACCACCTCTGTGATGGACCATCCTACAACTGGAAAAATGGCGGAAAATTGTTTTGTGTCGTTTTTGTTTTGTTTTGTTTCTGGCGTAACAAGGCCTTAAATTCTTGTGACAGAAAGACAGAGCTGATCAAAGGGAAGCTTCACCAGTCGATGGACAAATTCCTGCCTAAACCAAATACAGACGAGTGGCTGCAGGACTGACCAGCACACATCACACCGTCAACACTCGCTATCACACCAGGGACTCAAAGATAGTACAGAAATGTTAGCTAGTTGAACACTTCAGCAGGTGCTAACAAAACGAACCAGAATGATATAAAAAGGAATGGATGGATGTGGTCATGGTGTTACAGAGACGAGGAAAGAACAAGAAATTATTGTCATACTCTGGTGCATTCATTATTTTCTGTCACTGATTTCTAAGATGAAAGAATAACACTTGTCCCTGCTGTGTGTATGTGAAGTTGGTGTGTTTTCAGTTTTTTATTTTCATCTATGGAGAATAAAAACCTTACATCAAGATGTTCTGGATTTTTAGTTCGGTGAATAATAGGAAGAATGTTTCTCACCTTTGTGTTGGTCATTGAAGTAACTGAAGTAAGTGGGGCAGGTTATGGTAACCACCTCTCCAACTCTGGCTGAAGGCCAACAGGCGACGATATCCCATGTTCCCTGGCAACCTGCCCAGAGATGACAACGCTATTAAGGTCACATCAGCCATTCTGTCCCAATTACACACACACACACACACACACACACAGGCGCTCACACACACACATTGAATCACAAAATTAAGTCATCATCTTAAGATTACAGCCACGACCCAATCAACTGAGTGACACACTGGTGGAAGATCAATATCTGAATTTCCTTTTTTTTTTTTAAGCTCAGCTTTAATTAGGATTTTTTTACGACCAACTGCAGCAAACATTTGAGCCATCAGATTAAAATGAGCTAATTTTCTATTAAAATGTAAACACATACGAAAGATAAACATCAAAGTCCCTAAAACGTGAACCCTGACACCTGGCTGCAAAGATATGGAATTACCAATCAATAAATAATCAGTTAGTTTTTCTCTGTGTTTGAACCTTGACCCAACATTCACAAAGATAAGAAGGAAACTCCTCCGCAGCGTGTTTCCCCCAGAGTTTCTGCACTTGGCTCCACTGACAGCTGTGTTCCCAGACAAAACAAACAAAAGGGGGTCCGTGGGCCTAAAAGGGTCCAAAGAACTACTGTAGGACGGTCCAAAAAAATTCAATTGATTATACAATTGAATTATGTTTATATTCTGCACATGAAAAATGATATATAAATAAACTGCCATAACGGTGATAAGAGCAATAATTTATTCTTAGCATTTTTAATGTCTGTAAAATAACCTCAAAACGAACATATAAAGGTAGACTGCAGTACTCCAACATGCCACTCCAGCAGTAAGAGATATTCATATTTGCGTCTGCTCCGTCTCAGATGAACCAAACAGCTGCTTGATAATCTCTACGTTGGACGTGTTGTATAACCACGTGCCTCTCTGGGCTCTCACACGTACAGGCAGGACTAATCCATTCATCATGGACGCGACCTCTGAGAGCAGCTTTCACTACTTCCTGCAGAGGAAGCAGATATGAACGTAGAGAAATGAGCCTCGGCGATAAGATAAGCAGCAAAGCTGTTGACACGCAAGCACTTCATGGACATATATTCACTCGTGGGGACAAAGGACGACATCTGCGTCCCAAAGCTGTTCCTGTTTGGCCACGACTGTGCATCCGAATCAGAATCGGAACAGCCTTTGAAGTCATTGTCTGTGGCTGGGACATTATTTACGTTGGCGCACGGGTCTATACACAAAATTAGGCCTTGCGCAAAGACTACGTCACAGTATTTGATCAAATTTATATTTGTGTGTCCATGCCAGATGATGCTGGACACTAATTGTTCATGCTATGTAGTTGGTATTTTTATATAATATTTCCTTGGTAAAGTGTAGGATTTCACTTAAATAATTCAATACATTACACTGTCCACAGTTGTATAATGAAATTCTATTCAAATTGCCTTTTTTTAAAAAGAAGTTTGACATTGTTAACTTATACTTTCTGCTAATTTGCTAAATGCAGTGCTATTATAGGGTCAGTTGACATTGTTAACTTATACTTCTGCTAAATGCAGTGCTATTATAGGGTCACTGCTTCTGTATGTAGCTGTCCTGTTAACTGTGATGGAGTGGCGACTGTACCCCGTCCTCACTCGTTGATAACCTTTGTTCCTCTGTAGCCCTGATGAGCAACAAAATGCTTCAAATTACAGTTGTTTTGCTTCACCTACTGACAGCTGAGCTCCCGAGGTTAACGTTGGGGTCAGGTGTCATGCCCAGAGACAGACAGTGGAGGTCAGAGATCCTCCATTTGACTTCCTCAAAAACCAAACTATATACAGTAGTATATTCTGCTTTTAACAAGTTTAGAAAATTTATGATTTAGAATTTCCATTTGTACTGGGTCAGGTTTGCAACATTTCTTCATTGAGGTGTAATGTCGTCGTTATCTCTATTTCTTGCCCAACAACAACTTTGACAAATGAACTTTTTCCAGTGTAGGATGGTCGATGCTACTGCGCCTTTAAAAGTTCTGCCCAGTGTGGTTGTTTGTTGACCATCTGTACTCAGTGCCTTACTCACAACAAACTGCCCCCTGGGAATTAGAAAGACATAAAGAGCCTGACACAGTTATTAAAGAGACAGATGAATAAGCACAGTCTCATCAAGAGTGTGTGGAGGAGTGAGGGCTTTCTTCAGCGAGTCATCCTCCTGCAGCCTTAATAAACATTTAGCTGCTGTGTTAGATTAACCCAGGAGCATTTAAGCAGAAGCTTATTTTGTCTGAATTAGACTAAACATGCAATTCCTGTATTTGTCACCCAAAGTACTAAATACTTTAAGCTCCTTCCTCTGACTCTGTAAATATCATTACATTTATTACGTTTGAAATTTGGACTCTGCTCTCATTTGAGTAAACACAATTTACATAAACCCTCGGCAGAACTAGACATTTTAAACCTGCCATTATAACGTAACAACTGACTGCACCGCGTAATTCTGATGTAAAAACTGACATGATTTGCATTTATATTGATCTCATGTAAGCCTTGTTTACTCTCTGACTGTGGAAACTGTGTTCATTAGATGCAGAAAATTTGCAATTCTGAAGAAATGCCTTGTTATTATCTTAGACCCTAACGCAACGGAGAATGGAGAGCACCTGTGATAGAAGGAGGATATAAACAGTGAAAACAATGCAAACGCTGCACTATATAATTCTACATTTCAGCTCCACTGTCCATACAAAAAAAACTTTAACAAAGTTCAATCTTAAATTTTATTCAGCGCTTAACTTTTTTAAGCTAATTGAGGACAAAGGAAAGTAAGGGCTGAAGGAACTTGTCCGTTCAGAAAGAACTATAAACAATAGTAAATAGTAGAGAGTGGGTTAGCGTTCTCGCCTAATATCAAGAAGGTCAGTGGTTTGATCCCTGGCTGTACCTGATACTTTTCTCTATAAAAACATATGTGCAGGATTATGTTAATTGTTCGCTCTTGATTAACCCCAGCTGTGAGAATGTGAGTGAGTTGATGTCATGGTATGCTGCCTTGTGATGGATTGGCGATGTGTTCAGCCGTTGCTCATGGACCGTTGGTATTCACCCCGCTCCCTGAAACGACCCTGAGAAGGATTATGCTGAGGAAGACGAATGAAGCAATGAAAAGAATTTGAACGAAAATCTCAATAAATCAGCAGCAAAACTGAAGCCTACATCAAAGCTAGTAAAGACGTATCTCCAGAAGGAAGAAGAGAATGTTACTGGCCTTCATAAATCCTTGACTTAACTCCTCCAAAACATTTGTGGAGTAAAAGGAATAATTCAAAGACCAGGGTTAAGGGTCGGGGGGGGGGGGGCTTCACATCAGGGCAGGCTTGGCCTGGGAAACCTTATGAGATTCGTTTGAAACTGTTTGGGAAGTGACCCTAAAGAACTGCAGCCTGGGCACCACTGTACTTTCAGACTACAGTCACTCACTGGATTCATTTTGACGCTCGGGTTCTCACAGGTGTAAAGAGAGAGATGATTTCTTTGCATTATTTAAAGGATAGGCTGAACCGTGGCCAACGTTTTATATTGATATCACTCCTGGGTGTGAGTCATGCAGTGTCTTCAGATGTGACTCATTTAGAATGCTACAGTAAATGGCTTTGGTCCTCCAGACAGCGTCTCCACCTCACGCAGCATTACTTAAGCTTTAAACATATCTGCAAGAGTTTAGGGCTGAGTGTGTGAAGGACTGAGGAGGCGACAGAAATCCTCTCCACTTCAGCTGAGGAGAGTTTCAAGTCAGGGTAATTTGTCTGTTGTTGATAAGGCAGTGGACCGTCTTTCTGCCTGACTATTATTACAGTTGTCCTTATGAACTCCCACAATGCACTGCCTGACCTCAGTCTTCATCTGCTCATATCGTTTTCCAGTTGATTTAAATGGCTTCATGCACATTGAACGACCACAGAGGAGGAAATGGTTTTGAAAGAATCACCTGAAGTGACGTTTCCAGCTGTGCTGTTCTCGCAGCGCTCCTTCTCCTGCTCGACCTCGTTCATCACGTCGCACATCTGCACTGAAGACCCCTGTGAAAGAGACACAGAAAAAAAAAGAGATTTAGCTGTTAAGAACATGGATGTCGTTCCGTGCTTTTGCAGCTTAAAGGTTTCCTGCCCAGAAGGTCAGCTGTGATCAAATGTTAACAAAAGTTGTTTCCGCTGTTTTCTGTTATCAGGGTGTAGGATAGCACACAAAAATATACGTGGCGCTGGCGTGCTAACAGATGCTATCACACAAATAGATTAGGAAATGTAGAGGTGGCCAGCAGTAATCTGCTGTGACTGTTCATCACATGTCAACACAGGTTGACGAATGTGTGCCGACGTCTGTGGGAGGTGAACTAGTGGGACAAGCAGCAAGAAGCTGGAGAAGGTCAGAGGAGATGAGGAGGAATAAAAAAGACGCAGATCAAGTCGGAAGCGTGACCAGGAACGATCTTCACCCTGAGTCTGGTACAATCAACGTGACAGTGTGTTTACCAGACTGGAGGCAGTAAAGGTCAGAGTGTGCAGGGTGATGAAGCACAAAGCACAGGGTGACTTTACAGTTGTACAAACTCCTGTTTTAATTGGCCGAGACGGATAAATGTGCATCGGCCTGACATTAGAATCAACTCCTCTGCATCTGTCGAACACAAAACACCTCCGGTTCTGAGCTGTTTAGTCATGCACTAAGTTAGATAAATAACAACTAAGGAGACGCATTAGAATAAACATGAAGACCAAACCACATGAATCAGGATCTAATTATAATTTCACGTTTCAGCCAGTACAAAAAAAACAACAAACAATAGTTCTGAATTGTTCTAGTTCACAGCGCAGTGACACATTAACAACAATCACATTAACAACAATCACATCAACAACAATCACATCAACAACAATCACATTAACAACAAGACTTCTACCATAGAAGATCAGTAATCAGATATTATTTATAACCTGTAATTATTTGGTGACTTTTTGTTCCACTTATTAATACTTTAATTAATTTCCTGTTGTGAATCAAGGAAAAAGAACAATGTCTCATTAAGTTTCACAAAGAAATCAGAAAAAGCAGAAAGTTTTTTTTTTTTTTTTTTTTTTTAGTCAATCTCTGGTAAATATCTGTCAGTACAGAAGGCGTGGTTTACTTTTGGGAGATTCTCTTGAATCCAGCTGCACTAGGCTGTGGCTCTGAAGATCGTCGGTACAGAAGACGTGGTTTACTGTTGGGAGATTCTCGCAGCTGCACTAGGCTGTGGCTCTGAAGAAGACGTTTTACATTTCAGTACATAAAAGGGAGAAGTTTTATCAGGAAGAAGAAAATTTCGGCAGTGTTCCATTTTCTAATGCATTCTGGAAAGAAATTTTAAAAAAAACACAAGAAATTCTGTTGTGAAGTGGATTCTTACAAATCGATGGCTAATAAATCCAGAACTCTTAAGTATAAAGGCCAGTTTCATAGTTCACAGAACACATGTTTAAGCCATTAATATGGGTCTGACTCACACTTGTCTGAGTCTTTTGAAAGGATTGTGGGCGTGGCTTCGGGTCTACGAAGAAAATTGAGATCAGAAAAAAAAAAAAAAAAGAAAAGGTCCGAGTGAAAATGAAATAACAAATTCCTCCAAATTTGGAACTGATGTTGTGCATCTCTAAGTAAGGACAAGTCCAGTGCATTTAGCACATTTCCAAATATTTGCGGAGCACACAAGCAACCAACAAACCTGTGAGTGCAGGCAGTTAGTGCTGGACAGCTAATAACAGAGAAGAGCTCAAGTTCTTCTTAGTAAAGAGACCAAAAAATATTTTTGTTTGTTGAGGTATTTGTTGTAGCGTCATGAATGATGTTACCCTTTTCATAAAAGTCATGTTTATTACTCTAACATTTGCAGCGGCTGCAGAGGACTGACCTTAAATCAAAGGTAAAAACATGTCAAAGGAGAGCTTGTCTTACACTGGCTTTAATTTGGAGCACAATCCTCGTGGAATATGCAACCTCCACAAGTTTATTGAAGTAACTTGAAACCCCATTGGAGGCGGTAGCTAAACATCTTATTAGGAAATAATAAATATTTAAATGTTTAAACGTTGGTTGGATGTTGATCAACAACATGTCCGTGGTGCAGAGGTGCATCCATCTGGCTGAGCAGCTGTGACTACATGTATTCATCTACAGCCACGTGAACAACTGTGGGTTTGTAAACAACGCGAGCAGCGAGCCTAACAGGGCCAGTGATAAGCATCACTTTACTGACCTGAAATACGAGAGGGGAAATATGCAGCAAAACACGCAAACAAGCTCCGGTCCCCTCTTCTCCAGACACAGATTTATCCTGCCACACATTCTCCGCGTCCATGAGGTTTTGATGTGTCTATAATCCACAGTAAACCTCACAGCAGGTTCTGTCTGACTGACTGATAATGACATAAATCTAGAAAGTCTGCAGCAGCAGCAGCAGCAGCGGCGGCAGCAGCGGCGGGGCTTTTACTCACCGCGTTAACGATGCAGAGTCCGGCTGTCATCTGTCAGCAGCTCTGACGGCAACTCCGGGGACTGAAAACAAACAAAAACAAACAAAGCAAAAATGTTAATTCTCTCTCTCTCCGCTTCTCTCCCTCTCTCTCCCACTCGTTCTATCTTCTTTTTTTTACGCAGCATCCGATTACAGCGTCTGCCGCTGAAACAATACAGTTATGTAGGTCGATTATCTTCTTCATCTCGTTTTGAACAAAAGACGAGAGAAAACAGAACAAAAAAACCCAACATGTTTCTTAGGATTAATTTGCCAACTTTATCTGAGCAAAGCTGCACAGACGGAGCTCCTGTTGGTCAGAACCTCAGAACCTCGGTGGCAGAGAAGTGACACATTCCAGATAAGATTTTAGACCAGAACGTTTGTCAGAATAACTTTAGAACTTTGATTTTCATCTACAGGTCTATGATATAATGCACAAACTGTAGCAGTTTCCCAGCTTCAAAATTGAACTTAACCATTTCCAACGCTGTATTTCCTACAAATTCTACAACAATATTTTCTCACAACGGGACTAAATATAAAATGAAAAAAATACAGGTGTGGCTACTGTATACTGATGCTAGGATCACCCTGATACTACAATCAAATACTTATACTTGCAGTGGTAGAAACGTGCACCGTTCCAGTGACCCAAATACTCTTGAATGGCTTTTGACTACAACCAGCTGTGCATCGGTCGCTACTGCTGCGTGTTTTTCCCAGGACACGGTGGTTGGAGACCCCATGACCTCAGGGAAAACTCCAATCTGCCTCCAAAAGATAACATTTCCTGCAAACTCTGCCGTGATATGTTGAGAAATAGCTTTGTTGTTTTCATTTGAAAAAAAAAAAACTTCTAAGAAGCCTTTTGACCGACCCTTGTATATCACACCGTTTAAATTTGAAATCTTAGTGTTTTATTGAGCTATAAACCCACATTTGGTTACTTGCATCACGACAATGAGCGGAGGTGAAGATGCTGACAGTAATTATTGTTGCAGCTTTGGACACAAATATTGATCACCAACTGTAATATCTACAGTTTAGGCAGTTGGGCCATTAATCCTCCTGCAGCTGCATGGAATCACAAAGTGGATCCTTGGAGATGATAATGACACCCTGGCAGTACCTCAGGGAGACACTACAGTACACGACAAATACTATACACACACTGTGGAAGCATATGTGACAAACCCACATGTGATTAAATCACACGCTGCAGACCTGATGCTGCTGGTGCTCACACATGGTCTGTGGTTGCTGCCTCGTCTTGGTTTGAGCTGTGGCTAATGTCCAAATTAAAAAATGAGCAGAGCTGACAGGAAAATGAAAGGAGGCGTGTGTGTGTGTGTGTGTATATGTGTGTGTGTTTGTGTATGTGGAGCTCCAAAACCACCTGATAATGTGTTTATCTCCGACCCACTCTTCAACATCTCTCTACATCATTCGTTTACATCACCAGCTCACGTCAAGTCAGAATGGCTCTGAGTACGACGTGTCTATTCTGAGTATTATGGTACATACTCCCAGGCATGTTAGCTAATTAATGCCCTTATAGACACTGATATGATCTTTGGTTGTAGGCAGGACAGATGAATGTCTGGCAAAAGCGCAAAAGAGAAACGATTGTTATATTTCCATTTTATTTGCACAACCCTGTCGTCTTTTGTCCGTCTCTGTCTTTGGCCTGACTGATTTTTGTGGATCAATGTAATTTTCCTAACTTTACTGTGTGTTGTTGAATAAATGATGTAGCGTTCCCACAAGCTGGAATGACTTTAGAAATCTACTAAAAGCTTGAACTCAATTACATTACCATTTAAAATGGGCACTTGTTATGCATTAAATTAATTGGTTAAAATTCATGTTCATTTGTAGGCCACAGTTGGCCCTCTGGTATTTGTACACGATTAAAAAAAAAAAAAAAAAAAACCACCTGAAGGAGAGACCTGATGTTAAACATGTTAGTGGACTGTGTTATCAATTATAAAATACAATTTTCTTTTTTATTCTTTTTAACTGGTTTTGGTTCCTCTTTGGTTTTTGTCATGTTTTGAAGGGGAGGTCATTATCTTCCATCTGAATTATGTTAAAACAATGATACATACATCAGGACAGAACGTGTGCTTCTCTATTTAAACAATGTACGTTTACCGCCTCTTCCCCACCAATAAATACATGGATGCAGCCGACGTCAGCGTGTGTCGTTGTAAAGCAGCTGCAGAGGAGTGTGTGAGTGTGTGCATGTGTGTAAAAGGGCAAGGTTGTAGCACAGCAGGAGCACAGTGACAAACTGTCAAATGCTTTCCACGGTGGAGTTTATAAGAGCCACTGAAATATGTCAACAAATGATGCATCTGCTTGATCTGTGAAAGCCCCGGGGTGGGCCAGACAACTGAGAGATGTCAGGGGTGTAGGGGGAGGAAGAGAGAGAGAGAGAAAAAAACCTCACAGCCACATAGACGTTCACACTCCATTCTGATTGGAAAAAAAACCCATCAGGGACAGTTAGAAGAAAGGAAGCCGCATGTAAAGACCAGACATGTTTATCAGCTGAAACCTCTGATGTTTTTCTTTTCTGATTTCCTGTCACATATGTGACATTTTATGATCAGATAATTCATCTCACGGTGACAGGAGCACGTACATCTTCAGTGACCAACACGTTCTTCTAAAGATTATGATTCTGTTAAAATGGAAACAAAGACCAAAGGCATTTGGTTGACTGACAAACCGCAAAACATTTAGAAAAAAAAAAAGTATTTTCATCTCACTATCATGTTAGTCAATTTCATCAGCCTATGATTTTCTTCAAAGACTTAGTCAACAGCCAGGAGGTATAAACTCAGCAAATGTGTGTCCTAGAGCAGAACAGACAGAAGACACTGTGGAGTCAGGAGTGGGAAAAACACTGGTGGAACTGTGACATGACGTAACCACAACCTCAGCACAAAAAGTAAAAAGTTACGTTAGTTTGAACTAATATCTATATAAGAATTTTTTGTTAATATTTGATCAACTAAACATATTTCCTTAATTAAAAGTCAGCCCAAAAATTATACAATTAAAGAAAATAAAATTAAAAAGAATGTTATCAAAATAATTTACTTATCAAATAATGTTAAAATTGAAACTGTTTCATTGACTGATCTGACTAGGACTAATTTACAATAAAGTCAAACGGCCAAGACGACGACTAAATAAAAACCAGCGGTCAAAGTTAGCGCCAGTCAGTCCATGTCTGTGACCCATGTCTGTGACCCATGTCTGTGACTCATTTGCTTTAAAGGCTGCACTCAGAGTCACTGTAAACATGAACAAATGCAAGGTAATATGTGCAGTGTCCTGGGAGGACAACAAACCTCTCTACCACAGAGTGAAGGAGCAGCGACTCTGGACTGTGACATATCACCACAGCACAAGACTCACAGGGGATTCGTCCAATTATCTGAAGGCAGACGTTTCAGTGTGGAACCCTGGTTGGAGTCCTTTTAATTCTCCTTATAATCCAAGGGAGAGACGGCGTGGACACCACATACATTTCTCAGTATGTATGGAATGTATGTTTGTGCTATCGTATTTAACGTTCTACAGTCACAATATTTCTTTGTAGCAACGGCAGAGAAATTACACTTACGACTCAAACTACGTGCAACGTAATAATCATAAACAAAAGGAACAGATTTCCAGGTAAAGGCTGCAGTCTACAGCAGATCTACTTTATAAGGCAAAAAAAAAAAAAAAGACCGTTGACCTGCTCTTAGATTTATATGATAAAACCTCTAATAAATATAGGATTTGTCAAACTGAAAGTCTTGTAACCTGCCTGTGATTTACTTCCTACCAAACCACAGCCAGGTCTTGTTGGCTGCTACAGCAGAGACATTACCTTCATGCAAACGGACTCAGCTGCAGAGAAAGAGAGAAAAAAAAAAAACAGAAGAAAAAAAAAGTCTAACAATGATGACCTATAAGTTAGCTGAATTATATTCTTAATAAATCGTCACAAGAAAAGACACCCACGGTTTTAGCCACCGTCGTGACCCTGTGGATGCATTCCATGCAGTTCTCTGCCGTATGTGTGTGTGTGTGTGTGTGTGCTACAGCCACACATTATGTATATTTAAAGTGTTTCAAAAGCCAATGGTTGTCGTTTCAAAGAAGAGCAGACTTACTTTAGGCAGAACTCCATTAAACAGCAGCAGAAAGAGCAGGAGTGAAGCGTCCATCCTTGTGCTCTGACCTCAGCTCTCTTCTACCAGGCTCCTCCGTCTCACACTGCTGCACAGCAGAAGTGTGTGATGCCAGGCTGTTGGGGTCGGTGCGTATGAGTTTGTGAGGTTCAGCACTGCTGTCGCTCCACATCAGACTGCTCTTTTCTCTGTGAGCGTCTCCAGCTGCTGCAGGAGGAGGAGGAGGAGGAGGAGGAGGAGGAGAGTTACGTGAGTCTGACTGGATCCGCCCCTTGTCCATTCACAAATCCCCTCAGTTCCACCTCACGCAGGGCTATGATGAATTGCTGTGGAAAGTGGTGGCTGCACTTTTACGACGTGGAGGACCGTCGGCACCGTCCGATAGAGAGTTTGGATTTCAAAATCAGGGCAGAGCTGCAGGTAAAGACAAAAGGAGAGTTTGAAGCTCCGGCCTCCTGCTCTGCATCGAGCACATGTAGAAGTTTAAAATACCAGATCAGTAATGAGTGATAAACATGACTGACATCTTTGATTTATAAAAGTATCTGACACAAATACTAGTAAAATCTGTACTTTTGAATAAAGGAATAATCCCTATTCTAGGCTAGGCTGAGCTCATTACTCCAAGTGGCCGCACACGGAAATATTGATTAACCTGAAATTTAAAATACATTTTATTTCAACCTAAAAAGACTAAAATAAAAAAAGAACTGTCACAGAACAAAAATATTTATTTAGGGCCTACACAATAGTCTGTCCTTTGGTCAAGTCTATAAAAGTCAGCTGTACAGTACAGCATGTATTAACTGAATCCTTCAACAGCTTCACTTCATCAATATGACTGCAGTTGTTCTTTCGCTCCACTGTAACTCACAGAGTTTAGGTACAGGAAAATAAAACAACAGAACCAAACAGTTACAGGCAGTGAAGGTTTTGTTTATCACCTTTTTCACCCTGATCAAAAACCCCAGGTTATCTTGAGGTCGGCAGAGGTTTGATCTACTGCCTCAAATGCAGAGAGAGAAATCATGATTAGAACCATTTGACAGCCGAGTCAATCAGTCATGGGACCCACCGCCGCCGCCACCGCTGCTCCACAGCCACCCACAGGAGATCACATTCAACACACACAGAGTGAATGTGTGTGTGTGTGTGTGTGAGTAGTTGAATTGGAGTCTCTATTTTTTTCTGACAAAGACCTACTCAGATTAGATGTCTTACATACGTAAGACACCTAGAGGACCAAGGTCAGACTACACCTCCTGTGCAGGATATTTGCATGATGTCAGATGTGAGGATTTAGGACCTGCCAGTCCAAAAAAAAAAAAAAAAATCAATTTTATAAATTACGTGCAAACTGACAAAGGGATTGACAATCAAGGTCATTTTGGGCCTAAAGACAGGAAGTCAAGTCAGTTTTATTTATATTGCCTTGATTAGCAAAACAGCTTTGACCGCAGCAGAGTTTACAATCTGAGCTGTGAAAAAACAAACCTCCTAAAAGAACAACTAAACAGAAAAAAGATCAGGGGAAGGGAGAAAAACAGAGATCTTATCCAATGTGTAAAATATTTTGAGAAAGATTGAGATAGTGACAATGTTTGCTGCGAGACCAGGAGTTCCCCCAGTGGTCTAGGCCTAAAGCAGCAAAGCTGGAGAACAGCTCATGTTCACTGTCAAAGTTAGCCAAAAAGAAAAGGTTTTCAGTTAGATTTTGTTTTTATATTATTATTATACAATCATTTTCTTCCCTCTAAGCTCTCTTATTCCAGTGTCATATCATAAAGTTAAGACTCTGCTGTAGTCTGCCCTGATCATTAGTTTTTAACAAGTTTTAACTATTATTTCTCAAGCCAAAGGATACAACCAGCCACTGTGGGTTTCTTTATTTTCTTCTGTCCTCTAAACCATGAGGAAGTGATTGATGATGGGCTGCTGTGATGGTTGTCATAGTGACAGAGTCTCCCAGCTCTGCAGAGGACTCCTGAAGATCTGTATTTTCAATGGCAGCTTTAGGTGAGTCTGGCCACACACACACACACACACACACAAAACCTGGATGAGTTTCAAGTCCTTTTTTTTTGTACTGTGAGATCAATATTTGTTGAATGATTTCTTGCTAATGTGCTGTGCAAATAAGGAAGCCCTAAATATCTAATATATCTAATCGAGAAACAACAAATGTAATTAGATTTTTTTTATTTAATCAGGAAATTTAATCTCTATCAGAAGTGACTATGATATAAAATACCTGCCTTTCATTTAACTCTGACTCCATTTCTGCCACTTGAAATAGTAATTAAGGCTGATGAGCTACAGTGAAGCTTCATTATCCCTGACAGTGATTTAGTGCAGCTTTGTGTCATGTATATGGGGAAGAAATGCAGCCTTAAAGACATATTCTACTGGTCTTAGAACATATTTTATGGGATTCAATAATTATCCCTGAAAAACAAATCATCCCTTTAAATGAACAAAACAATGACATGAAGAATTAGCCTATGATTAGCTAAAAACTGTTGGAGATCAGTTCAGCTCTGTGGAGAAAGACTAAATTAGTCGTGGGAAAAGAGAGGGACATAAATGACATGCAGACGTTTAGAGACAGTGTCTTATCTGGCCTTGTGTTCTGACTCTAACTGAAACATGAACTCTGTCGTCTGTTTCACCACAACAACCTCCATTATCTCACACGCTCCTCTCTGCAGAGACGATATACTTTAACAAGCAGGTTGGGGTTGCAGCGTGTTGTGGTCGACTGTATGTGACATATATATGAAATGATAACAGACATCGCAATAAATGCTGATGGCCAACAGAGTGAACCTTTGATCTTTCTGGTGTCGTCGACCGTTGACTTTTTACACTTTAATGAGGCAGTCGAGGAAAACAGATCAATCATTTCTGATCAGGTTTGACCTTTACGTTTATGAGGTGAATGGATATGAAGATAAGACTATGCAAAACTGCCGTAAACTGTGGGACGGTGTCTCTCTTGGCCTAAGGAGGTCTTGACATGGATTTGTTTTTCGAAGGTCGGGGGTTCAAGTCCAGTTGTGCGCTAATGTGGACAGGAAAGACAATAACAGGATAACAGGCAGTAACTTTTCTATCCAGAAGTGGCTGTCAGGCAGAAAGTAAGAAGCTGTCGTCGAAAGTTTGGAAGATAATATGAATTTATAATCTAGTTAGTTTAATAATCCTAAATCTTTTTTATAACTGTTATAATTAATCCTGGCTCTTATCTGCTGTCACCAAACTTACATGTGATGGTTATCTGAGTCTTTCTAATCTAATGTGTAATAGGAGTATAAATAAATAGCGTGGCTCTTAGAGCTGATGGCCATTTAATTTGATTTTATGTGCTGAACAATATCAGAGTACCATTTACAACAGTTGAGCTGCGATAAGCGTCCTCGTAACCCAGCCGTTATTACAGTATAACACACCATGATTCTCCATCGCTGCAGCCGCCACCAAAGCACAAAACCACAGTTTTCTGTTTTTCTTTTTTGTCCTTCGTTCAGGGTGAACGTGAATGCTTTTGTGTCATGGACATGTTTCAACACAGCAGATATGAATGAAGGATGTTAGACAGCTGAGCCAGAAGGAAATTAAAGTGAGTTTTCACACCTGTGTTCCTAAGGTTTTATTTTTTTTTCTTAGCAGATATGTGTCTTTGTTACTGTCAAACGGGCAGCAGTGATGCACGCTGCAGAAAGACATGATGAGGGGAATCACCAAGAAATAAATGCAGTAAATTCAATAGCTGGAACAAAACAAGCAGGATGTCTGACACTGCAATTCATTACGTGGTAGAAAAGAAGAATTGGCTGTAAAAAATCACAGCAAGAGCCGGAACAGAATCAATAAAGTTTGGATTTTATGGGTTGTTGTTTTTTTTCTTGTCCTTTTTTAAGTTCGAAATTCTATAGAGGAAAAAAAAAGAATAGTAGAGGATGTGTGGGCTCCGGGATTTATATCTGGATGACAAATACCAAAATCAGTGAAGTACTCGGTGCCGAGTTTGGGAAATTGTTAAATCAATACGCTGCTATTTGTTGCTGTGGTCAGTGGTCACCGTGATGGGCTTTTTCCCACACACACGTGATTTAGAGAAGCACATCTGCAGAGGAGGCCATCATGATGATTATTATAATTTTGCTTTTGTGGACAGACAAACAACCCAGGTTTTGCTTGAAGCCAAAACAATCAGGCATAAAGTCAACAAGTCGATTTTTCCAGCTAGAAAAAAAAAACATTTTAAGTTTTTTAGAACTAACTGACCGAATTTAAGAGAGTTCCATTTCAGGAACCACATCATCTCCAAGACAGCTGTGACTCGGTCATTTATACAAGAGTATACTTTATCTTCTGTTTTCCTCTAAATTGGATTGGATGACTTGTGTTACCGACCATATGTTTACATGTCTGTATGTTTGTTTTGTTTTTCTCTATTGTGGTACATTCAGGTTTACATTTGCAAATCATCTGCTGCTCAGTCAGTCCATGAGCTACACGTGTGTTTCTCTGTATGTTCACTATAATCAGCCTGACTGGGAGGTCATATAAGCAGAACATGTTTCCCAGCTCAGGGTTTTCAGCTGCTGTTGGTTCTCTCTCCCCTCTCTGTGCTGTATCTAGACAGAACAGGTAGAACTGGTGATTGAGTCATGACTCTAAAAAAGGAGTGAAGGTTATAATGGCATTTCTGCTGAACAATCATAACACTGTGCCACTGGTCAAACTGCAGTTCAAACATTCTTGGAAGAATTAACAAATTAAATTGAAAACCAGTGTAGCACATCCTGCACACTTCACCCTCACAACTCACCACAGCTCTGTCCAGTTCCGATATACAATCTACTGTGCAGCAAGTAATTAGTGGGCCTTATTGGCTGGGGGAGAACTGGTGTATGTTGGAGATAGAGGACGTGTGTTTACACAGTTTGTACCAAACCTTGATGTTCAGCCTTCAGTGTGGTCTAAAAGCTTAGGAGAAACTTTTACTGAGAACAATTTTCCATTTCTCTAAACAAAGTTTCACTGAACTCTGCTGAAGGAGTATATATGTATATATGTATAAAATGTGTTTCAATATAATGCATTAGTTTTGTCTGTGGTGATGTCTTGTAAAAGCCACCTGCTCTTACAGAGACACTTACAGAGGCATGTTGTTGTTTTTCTTTTCTTCATGATTCTCTTCTGTATTTGGACTCAGCAACTTTTCTAAAAAGCCAGCGTCGATACATCATTTTGATCACTGTGTGCATAGTGCAAGCTTGAGGAGCAGCAATCTCATTCAGTCCGTTTTTTTTGTTTATATTTTTCCCAGATGTCTTTGTGCTGTAGATTTTTATATTAGATGAACAAATGATATGTTCAGTCTCTGTTTGTGCACTCAAGTGTATTCGTTTTCATTAAAAAGCCTCCACTCAAATATATTTGTCTGACTTCTGTGATCTGTTTGCAGATTCAATTTTTTTTTAAAGTCAAATAAATTC